TAGATGGGGTCGGAGGATCGCGCCCCATCGCAGGTGCATCGCCGAGGCGCCTCGATGGTGAGGCCCTCTTTCACGTCGATGTCGCCGATGCATCGCCCACGGCGGCGATGCATCGCTGGTGCATCTCCGATGCGTCGCCGATTTATCTGCGATGCGGCGAGAACCTCCGACACCATCTACTCCGATTCCATCTAGGAGGTCTCTACTTCAGGAGTATGAGATCAGCTGGGAGAGAGGTCGTAGAGCACGAAATCAATGCAAGCTTTCGGAGGTCGGGGAGCGGTTCCTGGATGGGGGCTATACCCCTGGCATGCTCCGCGCGCCTGGGCGAGATGAGTCCAGCGTCGTTCAGAGGAATCCGCGTGGACCTCTGAAAGTGTACCCATCGGTTGTTGAGTAGGTATTTCTGGATTCTCAGATTCCTATATACTTTAAGCGCCTTCATACTTCAACGATTGAGTGGCTTGCCCTTTTTCCGTCCGCTTTAGGGGGCGGGCGGATACCCAATGCATTTTCAACGCCGTCCTACTTCATGTTTCTCCAGTTCTTCTTCCGACTGATGGGTAACTCTATGCTGCATGTTCTGCTTCGACAGATTGACCCAGCGGAAATGACGTCCAAGGATTGCGCAGCATCGCCGATGTACGGGCGATGCGGCGCAACCTGGAGCCTACTTCCTCCATCCCGGTTTCGCCGATGCATCGGCGACGCGGTGCGATCTTCCACCTCGATCTTCTCGGGCCCCGCGTGGACGGCTTTCAGCGCTTGCATGCGTATGCCGAACCGTCACCTGTGTTGGCGGATAGTTCTGGGCACCTCTTGCGAACGTCGGGGGGGGGGGGATTTGGCCACTGACGGTCAGTTCGGGCGCGAGAGATCAGGGGTCGAATCCAAGTTGATTTGTAGCTTGCGCAATCCGTCAAGACATTCGACAGTCTGATCCTTGAGTGATGCTGCATTGGTTGGGAGCGTTGCCCATGTATCAACTGGTTTGCAGGTGAGCTGACTGGCGAGATCAACGATGGTTCATGGATTCCAGTACGGTGCTCTCCTGAGTTTGTGCTAGACGAGGGTGGAGGGGAAGGGGGCGCACCCGGTTTGGCCAGAGGTGCCTTGCTCAGAGAGGTGCTTTGCTCGTCGTGTGTAAGTGCGCCATTCACATGTCAAGCCATGTGGGCTGCCTCGCTCGATCCCATGACGCTTTTGTGAGAGATGCGCAGTGGACTTTCGGGGAAGCAGTTGACGGCGACTGTAAAAGAAGATGTATGGATTCTTGGGCTTGGTATGTCTCCCTGGGACCATGTGGCTGATAACGGGTATTCTGCACGAAACCGCACGCATTGGTAGGAAAGTTGGGCAGGATGTTGTGTCCTTACTTTCCCTACAGCCTCCGCCTCCTGTACTCATCCAATCCATCTTCGGCGTCCTAATCGCGTTCTCCGAACACCCTCATAACTCCCTCCCTTTCTTCGTCCCTCCCATCTTCCACCTCCCTCTCCTTCCTCCTCCCCTCACTCCTTACCCTGGACCATGCTGTTCACCTCCACCCTCCTTAGCCTCCTCCTCATCCCTCACGTTCCCTCTCCAAATTACTGACTCCTTTCATCCTTTCAGTTCGAGTCGTTCTTTGACAGTCCCAGAGGCCGAACACGCAGAATCAGCGCAACTTCTGTTGTTTTCGATCCTCCGTTTGTCTGGGCCCCTGCCCCTCCTCCCCTCCCCTCCCCTCCCTCTTCCCGTCCCTCCTCCATGGTCAATTTCGATCCGTTTCGATATCGATGTTGGCGGGCCCGATCCGACACGATTCCGGGATTCCGACGATCCGATGCGTCCCTAAATTTCCATGGCGTTGGTGTGCATTTTGGCCTTTCTCCGGATCTCCCCGTTGCGCGGGCAGCTCCAGGGAAGCGGCGTTATTTTGCTCATTAAGGCCTTCGCCCTCTGCCGCCGGCCACCCTATTACTAGTGCGTGCGGCTGCGTGGATAGCGCAGTGGGTGCCTCTCGTGGCAGGCTTCTCGGCAGCGTCAGCGGATCATTGTTGGAGTTTTTGGAAGCTGTTTTGGAGCCTCTTGGGATATATTTTGGGTCTCTCGGGGGTCTCCTTGGGGCCTCTTGGGGGCCTCTTGCGGGCCTCTTGCGGCCTCTTGGGGCCTTCTTGGGGCCTTCTTGGGCCCTGTCGGGGCGGAAAGGTAGAGTTTTCGCTTCGTGGACGCCCTCTTTGGGCCTCTCTTGGGACCGTCTTAGGGCTCTTTGGGCCGTCTGGGGCGCCTCTTGGCATCTTGGGGCCCTCTTCGGCCGTCTTGAGGCCGTCTTCGGGGCCCCTTTGGCCGTCCTGGGAGCTTGTAGGGCCGTCGTGGGGCGAGGGCCGTTCTAGGTTCTGCTGGGAGCCCCGTTGGCTGTTTGGTGGCGCGGCGGGGCCCCCCTAGCAGACAGTAAACAGGAGGCAGGAAAAGGACTCGAGAGACAAGGCCAACATCAGACCCAACACACCTTCGCAGCCTAGCGCCCCCAGAGGGAGTCGTCGGATAGATATATATAGATAGATAGGCACATATATATAGAGAGAGGCACACTTATAGAGATATGCAGACTTGTGTATATATGTATATATAAATATAGATACATCTAGATCTATACATATATATATATATGTGTGTAGCTAAATATACATACATATATTTATATGCACATTTACATCGATCTATACATATGTTTTATACATCACGTGAATATATGTATATGTCTAAGTATACACCTATACACATAAACGCATCCACACATACATACACATATTCACACACATACAATATGATCGCCATACATGAATACACAACCACATACATGCATACATACGCACATACATAGCTGTTTACATGCATACATACATGCATGTATACATATATACGTATATGCATATATCTATATATATATGCATACATGCATGCATCCATACATACATGCATGCATGTATGCGTGCATGCATACATACATACATGCATGCATGCATGCATGCATGCATACATACATACACATTCTTCGCGACGGAGTCGGGGCCAACAGCCCAGGGACCTTGACTGCGCATAGGGGTTCTGGGGGCCACTGGGGACGCCCCCAGACGGCCCAATGCAGCACCACAAACGAACCACCAGGGTCCCGAGAGACCCCGAAACGCCCCAAGAGTGCCGAGAATCACCGAAATTCCATTCGAAGACGCCCACGATGGCTTCCGGACCGCCCAAGAGGCTTCCAAGACGGCCCAGGAGGCCTCCCAAGAGGGCCCCAAGAGGCACAACCCACAAACATCATATGGTTTTGGAACTATCTTGGTGTGCTCGCCTTGTCGGCTTCCCGACGCTCCAAGACGTCCCCGGAGGCCCCAAGTATCGCCCAAAGACGGCCTCAGAGGCCCCAAGGCGGGCGAGCGAGACGCCCCCCAAAGCACCCCAGGTGGCCCCAGAGGCCCCGAGACGGCCCCAGAGGGCTCCAAGACGGCCCTGAAACCCGCCCAGACGACCCCAAATGGCTTCCAGGCTACCGAGAAGCTTCAATATAGCCCCAAGACGGCCGCCAGAGGCCCCAAGAGACCAACAAGAGGCTCGCAAGATGCCACTCGCAGACTTCATTCGGTCAACAATCAAAAGAATACCAATGCTATTCAAGATTTCGCCGAATCGCTTCCGAGGAGCCTCTGAGGCCTCAGAGTGGTCCGACAACGGCCGTCGAGGAGCCCCATGGCGCCCACCACGGTCTCGGAGCGACGGCTACGAGACGGCCGAAGACGGGGTCGTGACGGCCCTCGAGATCGCCAAGGCGTCTCCAGATGGCCCCCACGACCAGCAAGGGCGCCCCTGCAGACGGCCAACAACCAAAAAAAACGAGAAGCCCCAAAGCAGGTTTGAAATGCCTTCAGGATGCCAACGTCATTCCACGACCAAGGACACCTCTAGGCCTTCCGAAAACTTCCCGCTTAGATTTTGAGGCGCTGTTCGACTCGTATCTTCCACGGATGGCGCCAGCATCAGTGTGCCAGCTGGTGACGCCATTAACCCTAAGGGGCAGTATGTTTACCTGGGGTACACGATCACGGCGGACGGGACGGCAGGTTTAGAATTTAATCGTCGATTTGGTGCCGCGCGAGCTGAATTTGAACAATTTCGTCGGGTGTGGTCTCATTCTGGGATGTCTCGCGTCCGGAAGATGGAGATCTTCGACGCGTGCGTCATCAGCAGGCTCCTCTACAACCTGCATTCGCTGTGGCCTTCCTCAGCGGAGGCCAGGAAAGTCGACGGGTTCCAGAACAGATGCTTAACAATAGCCATGAACATTTTGTTCGTCTTCCAGCCACATCAAAGGCTTCGGTCTTGCGACAGGCCAACGCTAAGCCCATGAACTGCATGTTTTTGGAGAGGCAGGTCGCATGGATGGGGACATTGGCTTGCCGAGATGGGAGTGGTATAGTGAGACAGGGCACTGTCGATTACAGTAGTTTGTTTTTTCTGCCGAGAGAGCCAGCGGGCCCAGGACGCCGAGGCAGACCAAAACTAGCTGGGCGAAAGGCGTTTTCAGGCACGCGCTGGCATTTTTTGGCGGCGCAGATTATCTGAACGCGCTGCTTGGCCACAGGCCACAGAAATATTGGAAACCACTATGCGCATGTTTCGCCATAGTGGCCTGTTTTATGATTGTGTGCCGTCGGTTGCACGCAGTTGATTTGACTTGACTATCAGGCCTAAGGGTGGTTCAAACATGGCCTACCAGGAGCCCCATAGCAGCTTAAGACGGCGGATTGGACCCCCAAAGACAATGTGACTCTGACGCGGCGTCCGTCGCCGTTTTGGCTCAAGCAATCCTGGTCCAAGCCGCGTTAGCTCAACCCCATTTGGCTGGAAAATATTGTGAGTGAATTCGGCCCGCCATTTGTCACGCCCGCTTCTGAGCCGAGCGATGTTTTACATTTTTTTCGCCGCAGGGTACGAGCGGCAAGGTTGGAACGAGTGTCATGCGTGAGGCGAGTTGCTGCCGCGAGAGGGGCCGATCTTTCTTTCGCCTACCGGACGACGTCGACGCGCGCCAGCGGCAGGCGCGGCTCAAGGATCATTTCCTGAAGCCGCCCAGGCAGGAGATCCGCGGGGCGTCGCAGCGCCAGGTACCAGAATCAGCGCAACAAGCAGCAGAGGCTGGCGAAGAACATGCAGAGGCGCGGCGAAAACCCGACAGGCGCTTCCGAGCCCGAGCCACGCCTGGGCGCCATCGGTCTGCTGGGTGTGCCCTCCTCCTCCCTGCGCCTGCCGTCGGCCTCTCCTTCCCCTGCGCTCTTCCCATCCCCTGGGCGCGTTGGATGCCGAATGAGGCGGCGCGCCTGCGCGACGCCCGTGCGGCTCGCTGGCCGAGGCGCCGCTTCTACGCGCCTTCGCGGGCCGCGGGCAGACGCGATGGCGTCGGCCAGCACATGGTGGCCACTTCTGCCACCGTGGCCCCGTGGCCTATCGCCGCCCGCTGCCAGGTGGGGAGGGGAAGGGAAGGGGTGGGCGAGGCTTGCGCTCCATGTCTTGTTTCTCGCCTTTGCCTCTCCCTCCTGGTTCCCCCGTTGACCCCCCCACTGGTGAGGGCTACATGCGCTGGGGCCGAGGAGGTCCTCCTCTTTCAGTCGGCGGCAGGGAGCGGGGAGAAGGCGCCGACCTGCGACGCGTCCGCCAATTGGTAGGCCTGCCAGTGGCGCTGCGTGGCGTTGCGCCTGGTCAGCGCCGCCAGTTTTCGCCCGCCCGTGGCGACACAGACTGCGGTAGGTGTTGTGCCGGGCGCGCTCAGCGAGCGCTTTCGTGGCGTGCCTTAGCGGGCGAATGATAGGATATAAGAGTGCGTTGTGGGATCGGGGGCGCCGGTCCCACGGCGGATGGAAAGTTCATGCTGCAATGACATACGCAGAACCATCAAACATGGGCAACGTTCAAAAGGCGCGCGTCTGTTGCAACAACCAGATGTGATTCCATAGGGAACTACTTCATTCGGCATCAGGGAACGGGCGCGGACCTGTGACGCCTCCGCCATTTGGCACGTCTGCTTGCGGCGGTATACGGCGTTGCGCGGGAGTCTCTTTCGCACCCGCGTCCTATTTTCTTTCGGCGAGGTCGGCGTTTCAGGACGATTGCTATCCGCCGTGTTGTGTTGGATGTGCCCGATGGGATCAGGATTACGGTCGCCATTCAAACACAAACAAACGGCTCTGACACGGCCGAAGATGATTTCGAGGCGGCCTTCGAGCCCGCCAAGACAGTTACAGCTAGCCTCCAGACGGCCCCCGGCAGCCCAGGACGGTTCCAAGACGGCCCATAGCGGCCCCCAACCACCCCCCCAGAAGCTTCAAAAGGGTTTCAGACGACAAATAATAAAAGCACCAACGAACACGATAGGTTTGCGTAGATCTGCCCTTTTCGCTTCCGGAGGGGCTCTCAGGCTTCAGGGTTGTTCAAACATGGCCCACCAGGGGCACCATATCGGCCCAATACAGTTGGCCTGGACCCTCCCCGAGACCCTTCCAAATTGCTCCGACGCGACCGAAGATGGCTTCGAGGCGGGCGTGGAGCCTGATATGACAGTCCCAGCTAGCCTATCAGGCGGCCCTGGGCAGCCCAGGATGGCCCCAAGACGGCCCGCGGATGCCCACCAAAGGCCCCCAAAAAGCTTTAAAAAGGTTTCGTGCGGCAAAGTATTCAAACACCAAGAGACACAACTGGCCTGCCCAAAACTTAGTGGGGACCCTTCCTTCACACGGCAGGGCCGTTTTTGTTACCGGTTTCGTTTTGCCGTTTTCTCGCCGGTTCCGACCCCGTTTTTGTTGCCGGTTTTGTCCCGGTTGTTTGCCGGCTTTTGTTCCGGGATTTTTTATTCCGCTTCTGGTCGCCGTTTGTTTTTGCCGTTTCCATTCTGAAGAGGCATTGTTTTGGAATCGTTGCCAAAACGGGCTTGCCGTTTTTGGCGCCAACGACTGCCCAGACTTCCCCCTTTCGCTTCCGAAGGGGTGCCCCCAGGCCTCAGGATGGTTCAAAAATGGCCCACCAGGAGCCACTTAGCGGCCCAATACGGTTGATTGGGTCTCCCAAGACCCTCCGAGATGGATACGGTTCAAAATGGCTTCGAGACGGCCCTCGAGCCCACCAGGACGGTCCAAGCTATCCTCCAGACGGCCCCAGGCACCTCAAGTTGGCCCCAAGACGGCACCCGGGTTCCTCCAAGTGGTTTCCAACAGGCCCCCAGGGGCCAAAGTAATTTTGAAGGCCTCGCCTGTTCACTCCCGAGACGGTCCAAAAATGGCCATCGAGGAGCCCCAGAGAAGACCCAGAGAGGCCCAAGACGGCCGACTGGGGCCACCCAGACCATTCAACATGGCTCCAAGACGGCCCCACCATGCCCCGAAACATATCCAAATGAATTGCCAAGGGGGCACCAAGAAGCCCAAATTGTGAATCCCCGACAGCCCTTCCGAACCCCCCACACACGCAGCCAGCCTGATGTTCCCAGGGCCTCTTCGGGAACACCAGGCCACGATAATGATGACGGCCATCGCGACGTGGTTCTCAGTATTGATGCCGTGGATGCAGATGGTGATGGTGGTGGTGTTTATGATGACGGTGATGAGATTGCTGTTTATGATGATGGTGATGGTGTTGATGTTGATGCTGAAGGTGCTGATTCTGCTGTTGACCTTACTGGTGGTGGTGGGGATGCCAGTGATCAAGGCGATGGCGATGCCATTCATGGTCAGGATGATGATTATGATGATGATTGTGATTATGATGATGATGATGATGATGATGATGATGATGACGCTGACGATGACGCTAAGGATTGTGATCGTGATCGCGATACTGATGATGGCATCATGACAGCGACGGTGACGACGGTGACGGTGACGGTGACGGTGACGGTGACGGTGACCATGATGATGATGATGATGATGATGATGATGATGATGATGATGATGATGATGATGATGATGATTATGATGATATTGATAATGGTAATGATAGTGATCATGACGACACTCCTCGGAGCGCCTCGAAGCGGGACTCCAAGAGATCCAGGGAGATTCTCATAGACAGGCAGGAATTTTCAACCAGTTTCCCGAGGGCCCAACGGAACCCCCTACATTCCGACAGTGCTCCCCGAAGCGCGCATCCGAATTGATGCTGGGCTTCTTCACTCCCGACGTGCCGTCCGAGCTCCTCACACGCAGCAGGCCAAATTTTCCTGGAGGCCTCTTCAGGAACAGCTGGTCGACGACATGACGACGATGCCAATGATGATGTTCGTGACCACGGCTGTGATGCGTCTGACGATAATGATGTTCAGGCTGATGTTGATGCTTATCCTGATGGGGCTGATGACGGTGGTGGTGGTGGTGACGGTGATGGTGCTGGTGTTTGTGGTGATGGTGATGGTCACGGTGATGGTGCTGGTCACGGTGATGGTGGTGGTGATGGTGATGGTGTTGTTGATGATGATTTGTGATGATGATGACACTGATAATGATGATCGTTGTGGTGACGATGAAATGATTACGATGATGATGTTGATGGCGACGATCACGATGATGGTGATGATGACGATGATGACGCTGCTGCTGCTGATGATGATGGCAACTACGACGATGCTGACGACGATGCTGATTGTGGGAGTGATGATGATGATGATGATGATGATGGTGATGGTGATGGTGATGGTGATGATGAGAATGATGCTGAGTATGATAATGCTGTTGATGATGATGATGATGATGATGATGATGATGATGATGATGATGATGATGATGATGATGATGATGATGATGATGATGATGATGATGCGGTCAATGTTGTTCATGACGGTGATAGTGCTGATGTTGAGGACGATGCCGATGATGCCGGTGGTGATGGTGACGATGCTGAGGATGCGGATGTTGATGAGAAGGCTGACGGTAACGATGTTGGTGACGCTCGTCACCATGACAAGGATGATGCTTCGGACTCCTTCTGCTCATTCTGGCGGCCGCCACTGAGGCTAGTGGAGGAACCCTAACTTGCCCGGGAGAGTCTCGAGAGGAGCCCAAGCGGCCACCAAGACGGCTCCAAAAGTCGTCAAGAGCTTGGAAACGCGATCCAAACACGATCCAAACGACCTCGAAGAGGCCAGCCTGGCGGCTTCCGATGGCGCAAGACGGGCCAACAGTGCCCTAAAACAGCATGCGAAGGCCATTCGAGGCCCCAAGTCAGCACCCAGAGGCCTCTATGATGCCCCCAAGACGATCCCAGGAGTCCAACATGATGCTTTTTTTGTGGGGGGTCGCCTGTCCGAGCTCCCGATGCTCGCAAGACGCTCTGACCTTCACCGTCAGCAACGGCAACAGCCGCAACAGCAGGCACCGGCGCGCCGGCTGCCAGCGCTTCCCCGCGGGAGGGGGCGGCGGACGCACCGGGCTCCCTCGAGGCGGAGCCCGAGAGCGCGCAGGAGCTGCGGGACGGCTTCCGGCAGTTCCTAGCCCTCGGCGGCTGGGACGCGGCGCGCGCGGTCGCCCGGAGGTTGGGCGTCCCCACGCAGGGACGCCTTCGCGGGGTCCGCCGCGAACTGGAGGCGGCGCTGGACGGACTCAGCGACGCCGCTTTCCGGCGGGTCGTGGCCCGGGTGGCCACGGACGAGGCGGCCCGCTTGGGCTTGGGCGGCGGCTAACCGGCCCGCCGCGGCGGCGGCTGCGCGGGGCCGCGGCGCGCGGCCGCCCCCGCGGGGCCTCGGGCCCCCCTGAGGGCCCGGTGCGCGCCTGGCGCGCGCCTCCCCTCTCGGCTTTTCGCCCCCCCTCCCGGCCTCCCCCCTTCTTCTGCGCCGCCTCTTTTTCGTTCGTCTGTCGTCCGTCGCTCGTCTGTCGCGTCGTGCCATTGGGCTCCGTCTGCGCTGGTAAAAAAGTGTCCCATCTTCGACTGGGCCCAGGGTGCCAGGGCCCCTTGAGCGGGGCGGAAAACCCAATTCGACGCGGAGTCCAACGCCCGATGCCCGTCGCGCTGATCTCCGAGAGTTCAGTCTTCTGTTGCTTTTCATTCTCTGTTCTCGGCCGCGCGTGCTCCCCTGTCGCCTGCGCTGCCTCCGGGCGGGGGCGGGGGGGCGGGGGCCGACTGGTACCGTGCTGGGGCTGGCCCCCCTCCCGGATGCCCTACGATTGCAGTCTCTGCAGCCTCCAGTGGCCGCCGGCCAGCCAGCCCTCCTGGCTCCGCCTTTCTGGGCACTCACCATGACGTTGCGGGCTCCACGAGCTGGCTGCCAGCGCTGTGGCCTGATGGGCGACATAAATGGCACAGTGCGGTTTCAGCTGTGGGCATTGCACGGTCTCGCCGCCCAGCTGGCGTGTAGCGACAGGGATCGAGGGAGAGGGGGAGAGGCACAGCGTTCGGCACTCAGTTCAGAATGGAAGGGAACTGCCGCAGCTCAGACCTTTCTGCTTGAAGCCGCTTGTAAATCATAGAAAGACAATGGCAGGGGCCCTCGCTGGGGCGAGGTTCACTCCGCAGAGCGAGCGCAAGCTTCGATAAAGAGCTAGCAAGCGTAGCGGCGCTACGAAGCTCGAGAAAGACAGCAGAGTCCAACAGCACGTTTGAATATGTCAGTCCCTCATGGAAAACGTCAGATTCTGAAGATCTGGCCTGTTCGCTGTTAATTGGGCCAGCCTCTGAGGCCCCCAGACGCCCTCCAGACGGCCGAAGGGGCTCCCGAGACGATAGAAGGGGGCCCAACGAAGACCGACACCCCCACCCCCACCCCCTCCCAAGCGCCTCCACAAGGCTCCCAGAGGCGCGCAGTCGGCCGGATGTTCCACAAGAGGCCTCTCTGGGAACATCGGGCCGACGACGACGATGACGGCGGTGATGTTCGATGTTCATTATGGTTACGAAGAGTATGATGACGGGTAAGACGATGACAGTGACGATGTGCACAATTAGCGTCGCGGTGTTGTTGTTGATGTCTATGATGGCGATGATGATCAAAGTGGATGAAGATGATGATCCAGTTAATAATGGTGATTATGATCATGGTGTTGTTGATGGTGTTGATGATGGCGACGACAGCGACGGCGATGATGAGGACGAGGGTGATTGTTAGGATGGTGACGATGACGATATGGATGATAGTATTCATGATGTTGACGCTGATGGTGAAGACGGTGATGCTGGTGCTGAGCATGATAATGCAGATGGTGAGGTTGGTGATGATGATGCTTCTGAGGATGAGGATATTGATGATGGCGCTGATGTTCAGAATGACAATGGTGGTGATGACGAAGATGTTGATGAGGATGAGAACGAGGATGTTGACGATGCTACCATGCGAGTTTGGCGTGACGGCATGGCGAGAAACATTGGGCCGAGGATGTTCCCCATGATGTTGTTGTTAGTAAAGATGGGTATGGTCATGTTGATTATCTTGATGGCGATCAGTAGGTGATGGGGAGGAGTTCGAGTGTCAGGATTAGAAGCAGGAGCAGGGTGAGGATGCGTACGGCTATGTCACGCGCGTGAACATGGTAGCGTTGTTCAAGTTCATCCAGCGGCCCCCCGGCCTGCGCTAGTACCTGAGCGTGCGCGAAGCGTGCTCGAATCTATATATATATATACATATGTATTAATATACATATGTATACATGTATATATATATATATGTATGTATATGTGTATACATACATATACATATGTATTTGCACACATATAGAACTCGTAATTTCTAGTTGTTGTGCTCGATAGATATCTCCGTCCGGCTGACCCATTCTCCGTCAAGATGGAAAACAACTGCTTAATTCGCCCCCCGTCTCTCTCATTCGCTCTCTTTCTTGCTCTCCCTCTCCGATGATCCTTCTCCATCCCTTTCCCTGTTTGCTGTCTCTCGTTTTTTTTGTTTTCTCTCTCTCTCTCTCTCTCTCTCCCCCTCAGCGTTGTGTGTATCACCCTCGCTCGCTTAGTCTCTCGTTCTCTCTTTTCTCTCTCTGCCCCTCTGCCTGCCTGAATATATACACATGTTATGCGCTTCTCTCTCTTTCTCTCTTTCTCGGTTGTTCCCTCTCTCGCTCTCATTTCTCGTTCTCTTTCTCTCTCTCGCTATCTTTTCTCTGGTTGCCTGTCTGTCTGTCTGTCTCTCTGTCTGTCTGTCTGCCTTCCTCTCCTTCTCTATCTCTCTCTCACTCTCTTGTTTTTTTTTCTCTCTCTCTCTCTCTCTCCCTCTCTTTTTCTCCCCCTTTATCCCTGTCTGCCCGGCTGCCTGTGTTTCTTCCTTCTGTCTCTGTATGGCTCCTTCTCCCTCTCTCTCTCTCTCTTTCTCTCTTTCTTCCCCCTGTGTCTCTCTCGCTCTCTCTGTCTCTCTGTCTCTCTGTCTTGTTTCTGTTTTTCTTTCTCGCTCTCTCTCGATCTGACCTGTTCTCGCCTGACATATTTATTGCTTCTGAGTTCTGAGACAGAATGGAGAGAAGAGGGGGGAGGCTTGGGAAGGGAAGGGATGGGGAAGCACGGGGAGGGAGAGAGGGAGGGAGGGAGGGGAAGGGACAGGTTGCCGACGGGTCATCCGAGGCTCCTCAGGCGTCTTTGCGCTCTCAGAAGGCACCCGCTGGAGTCTCGGGTTCTGGCACTCACACAAGACCCTCGGACTACCTCGCGTTAGTATGACATTCTTGCCACGGCAAAGGCGCACTCACAGGAATGCGGCCTTTTCCTACGATCCGAGCTCTGGATGCTTCCCAGCACTCCAGCCCGCTCCATTCCCGCTGCATGTGCTGACCGTGTGGGGGGCAGGTGGCGAGATTGGTACAAAACCACTCTGGATCGATGTCGCGGAGGCCTGTGGTGGGCGCAAGCTCTGCCAGACGCCCTCTCTCGCACTCTGCGCGTTCCCCCACCTGGCCAATCGCCAGTCTCCGCGCAACGGGGGCAAGAGGATAGCGGTTGGCGCGAGACGGGAGAGCGAGCGGGGCCGGTGCTGCACGTAGAGATTTTGCACAAGTCCTCTCCTCGATTGCTTCCTTTCTCACCAGTTTGGCGGAGAGGAGGAGGAGTGAGATACAACGCATTGTACCCTCCCAGTTCCCGGTTCCCCCTTTGTCTATATCTAAGGTGTCTACCCGAATGAGGGGTGTGGGGAAGAAGAGTGTTGGAGGAGGAGCAGCAGCAGAAGGTGAACAAGGAATTGGAGTCAGATGAGCATGAGAAGGGGGGAGGGAAGGAGGGAGCGGATGCGGCCACAGTTCTATATTCTTGTTTTCTTTGACGTCCGCGTGTGGTCATTTTTGGTGGGCCAGTGTGGGAGAACGTGCCCCACCCAATCGCGAGACGCGTTCCTCTTCCTCATCCGTCGCCGAAGAATCATAGCAGCAAAAGTCGGTTCAGCCCTGTCACCCTCTTGCCAGTATTAGTTATTACGGTTACCCTCCTTTATACCCCCCTCGTCCTCTCTCATCCCGCTGCTGCTGCGCTCGCGCGTCACGATGCCGATTCGCAGTATCCGTCGACCGAGACGCGCGCGTCGAGCAGTTCGATCGGCAGGACCTCCGTTGCAAGAGGGGTACAGGGATCAGTCCTGGAACCTGACGGCCACCTTGGAGAACCCCCGCTCTGGGTTCGAAGACGGGGACTTAGAGCAGCTGGCTGGTGCTTCGCCACTTCCGCCAGTTACGCGCTGCTTGGGCGCGGGAAGTGGAGGGTGGCGCTTAAGGGTGTTGCCACTTATGCCACCTCCCCGCCGCAGGCCCCACTAAGTGATTGCAACTTCTCATTGCACATCTACACATTATCTAGCACAACAGTTACACGAATGATAGAACGTGGGCATGCGTTCTAGAAGTTCAGCCTTTCTCTGTGCATCCCGTGTATGCCTGGGCCCCCCACATAAAAGCAGAGTGAGGGGGGCGAACGGTCATTCACTGTCCCTGCGTTCGCGTCTGAAGTGGACTTCCGCGGACCCCTCGCCGCCACTGTGGACGCCCTCATCCCGAGGAAACAAGGCGAATCCAGCCGTGGTGACGAGGGCCTCCCATGAGGCCCAAGCAGGGGAAAACGAGGCAAGGGTAGCGGTATCGGCACCTTCTCCTCTGACCTCCGCTCCCCCGCCCTCCTTGCCAGCGGGGGGGGCAGGCCGCGGGCGGCAGGGCCGAGGAAGCCGCGCGAGAGGCGGACTTGCTCTGAAGCCCGCGCGCGCGCGCCGGCCCTGGGCGCAGGATTTGGGACCATCGAGATGGGTACGGAAAGAATGGGTCACCTCAGCACGGAGGGTTTCTCCGAAGCGCTTAGGCGACCCGTCCTTCGGCTCCTCCTCCTCCTACTCCTCCTCCTACGCCCTCCTACTCCTCCTCCTCCTCCTCCTCCTCCTCCTCCTACGCCCTCCTCCTCCCCCTCCTCCTCCTCCTCCATCTCCTCTTCCCCTTCCCCTCGCTGTGTCGGCGCGCATGACGCTCGAGAGAAGGCTGAGGGCCTACACCACGTTCTGGCTCCAGGACGTTTCAGTGCTTAACGAAGCCGGAGATACAACGCACTGGCGTCGCTTGTGCGTGTCGTACGTGGCTGACCTGTTGATGCACGGTACGTGGACGCCACTCGTCTCCGAGGTTGCTCGGCCGGCAGGCATCGACAACATGGGCGTGGTCCGACTCAGAATGGCGCAGGACTTCTGCGAGGAGGCGTGGGCCGCACGGAGGCGCACGCGAGCCAACTACCACGACAACATGCGCAGGCTGGCGCCCAGTCCGACGCGCAGGAGTGGGAGGAGCAGGTGGCGCGGCACGAGCGCTCCATGACCGAGGCGGAGGAGGAGTTCGGCCCCGTGCTTGGCAGGCGTGCTGCTGGCGCCGCCCGCTGGGCCGCTGCCGCGGCGCCTGCCAGGTCGCCGTCGGAGGCGTCGACTGCGAGAGGCAGGCCTGGCAGGACCGCGTCCGCTTCGGAGGAGGGCGCGGGGAAGCCGGGGTCCCAGGTCTGCAGCGGAGCTGGGCGTCGGCGAGGTGGGCTGGATACTCGTGTTCGGCGACCTTCCGTCGGTGGGTCGAGGGTCAGTGCAGCTCGAGGTGCAGGAGTTTTCCTTGCCCCCAGTGCAGGCGGTCAGAAGTGCATCGATGTGGACACGGCTCCCGACAAGCTCTTGATGTTTTCGGCCAACATCAACTTTTGGGCAAGCGGTCAGGCCTTTTCGGAGTGGAGCAGGGACAAGAAGATGACGTTCGATGTTGTCGGCTTGCAGGAGCACCGTATCAAGCAAGGCGCTAAGCTGAAGTCGGCGGCGACCTGGGCGAGACGTGCTGGCGTTGAGTTCTTCAAAGGTCTCGCGCAGGGCACGGGCCTAGGGCCCCTTGACAGCTCTGGAGGAGTGGCGGTCCTCACTGCAATGGCGGCGGCCAGCGTCGATAAGCCCAAGGAATGCAGTGTGCTGGGGCCCCATCAGGCGAGAGCATTGAAGCTTAACACGTGCCTGGGCTTCCCGATCTTCTTCGTCTCGGCCTACATGGCGGACAGCATCGGGGTCACGGGCGACACCATTGCGCTGCTTGGGGCCCTGCAGTCCTGGGTCGGCAGCCTCGAGTGGCCGTGGGTCATCCTGACGGACTGGAACACCGAGCCCGACGACTTGGCCAGCTGGGCCAAGCAGGCCTCAGGAATTCTCGTGCGTCCGTGGAGTCCAACTTGCAGCAAGCGCGAGTACGACTACGCCATAGTGCCAGGGGCTCTTGTCAGTCGGGTCGGCGCGGTCAAGGTGCTGAGTGACGCCCCGATCTCGCCGCGCTCGCCCACTGCCATCGAACTGACGGGCCTGCGCCAGAGAGCCACGGTCACCAGGGCTGTCTACCTCAGTCGGCACCCGTTGGCCTTGCCACCTCCTGCACAGGCAGCGCCGCCCGAGCGAGCTGAAGACGCATGGCCATGGTGCTCAAGGGCTGGACTCACTGATGTTGAGGAAGCCTCTAAGTTCTGGCATGCCATGGCAGAGGACTACCTTGGGAGGATTCACCAGCTGGAAGATCACAAGAGGTGCAGAGTGGCCAGAGGCAGAAGCCTGCAGGCGGCGACTGTTCCCCTGATCCAGGAGTGGGCTGAAGGAGACGTCCAGCGCCGAGTGCCGCAAGTGGGCCGGCCTGCTAGCATCTTGCAGGAAGGCGGCCTTTCTGCGTGGGCACCAGTCGGACAACGTCTGGGTCAGGTTCTCTCGCTTTGAGCGCCAGATCCGGTGAGTGCGCGCGTTCGTTTTCGACAAGGCGGAGTGGCCGGCGTCTGGGCCGCTCGCTGCCTGGGGCCAGAATGCCAGTGCGCGCGCACTCCAGGAGCTGGACTTGCACGACTACCGCGCCCTCCTGGTCGACCTCCACGACCACGTAGTCTCCATCCAGAGGAGGGGCAAGGCCAAGCGCAGCAAGGAATGGGGAGAGTGAGCACAGGAAGCGGCCACCAAGTCAGGAGGCCAGAAGGCACGCCGCTGCATCAAGGATGGCAGCCTAATCCCGTCGACGGCGATCGCGCGCGAGGACGACGAGAGCGACCCTGGCCTCCCAGTGGCAGGCGATGCCGCCATGAAGGTGCTGATGAAGGAATTGAGGGACCTCTGGGTTCACCCTGACATGCAAGGGGGCTCAGACCCACGGCTCTGGGCGAGCGGTGCAGGGGGCGCCTGGCATGACCTCCCGCCCATGACCATAGTCGCGCGGGACTACGTGCTGGCATCCCATGGGGAGGGCACAGGCCTTGGGCGAGACCGCCTGCGCCCGCGGCAGCTTCGGCGGCTGCCGCGCCATTGCCGATAGGCGTTCCTGGACATTGTGGAAGCTTGGGAGAAAAAACCGACGAGGTGCTCGCTGCGGATGCTGCTGGTGGCCTTCCTGCCGAAGGCCCCGCCTGGAGGTGCGCGGCCCATCGTCCTGGCCAGCCTCTGGACTCGGGCATGGTATAAGCTGCGCCAGCCTTTTGTTGCAGCGTGGGAGTGCAGTATCGACCAGTCCTTCCACTGGGGCACCTCCGACCGCTCGTGCGACAAGGCTGGGTTCGTGCACAACATGATGACAGCCTTCGCGAGGAAGACAGGCACGGTGTCCAGCACCCGGGCGATCGACCTCACGAAGTTCTACGAGATGATCAGCCACGACGAGCTCTACGATCAGGCGGTCGCGACGGCGACGGCGCCGCGGCAGCGGGCTGCTCGTGCGCGGCGGGTGTCGCCGAGCTGCTGGCCTACACCCTGCTGCGCAGCGTCGCCAGCAGGCGCCCCCCCTGGTGCGGGCCCAGAGCCTGGCGGGCGACTGCCTCCTCCAGGCAGTCGGCGCGGCTCGCTTGGTGGGGCGCCAGCTTCCCCGAGCTGCTCGCGACCTCTTCGAGGGGGCGCAGCAGAGGCACCTCGAGATAAACCGGGGCAAGACGGGATGGATGGCCACATGTGCGGAGCTGGCTCAGGAGCTGGACCGCCACTGGTCGGACCTTGGCCTGGCCAGAGCCTCGGGCATGAGATGCCTGCGAGGCGACGGCAACGACGGCGGCAGGAGGTGAGTGCCAGAGCAGGACAAGAGGCTCGCCCGAGCCTAGAGGGCAGCAGGCAGGATCGGGCTGCTGCAAGCCGCGGGGGCCAAGACGTGCCACATCATCCGTGGCTCACCGTGCGCCGCGGCGTGCTGGGGGCCAGCGGTCACTGGCATCGCATGCGGTGAGCTGAGCGGGCTCAGGGTGCACGCGCTCAGAGCCGAGGGCAGGCTGGCCCCTGGCGCCTGCCTGGCCTTCAGGGTGCGCACCGTGCCGAGTGCAGTGGTCAGGGGCTCGTTCGCGGTCAGCGCGGTGGAGTTGGCCAAGGCGCGGTCCATCGGAGTTCAAGACGGGCTCCTTCCAGCAAGAAGTTTTCAGAGTGGTTCGCGCTGGGGCCGTGCAGCTGCTGGGCGTCGACAGGCCATCGAGCAGGCGCACTGGCCCAGACCAGGCTGCCGCGCTCAGCCTCGTCAGGGCTGGCTGCCAGCTAGCTCGGTACAACCTGTTGCTCGATCATCGCCAGCGCGAGATCGACCGATTGTTTGGCCAGGTGCTGTCTGCCAGGCGGTCCGTGCCTCTGCCTGCGCCGCCTCTGATGTCACTGCTCTGAGAAGGATTGGGAGCCCTTGGGTTTCTGAGCTCTACTGGGGGCCTGCGGCGTGGGCTTTGGCGAGAACCCCAGAGCTGTGGGCCAAGAGGCACGTCGATGCTTTCCGATGAGTCAATTGCGGGGCCCACTGGTGCCAGAGCACTTCGCGCGAAAGGGCCTGCCACCCACCCGTTGTGCGTGAAATGCGGGGCCTGTGGGACCTATCGGCACCGTTGTTTCGACTGCCCTAGCACGGAGTTTCTCTGGGGGGAGTTTTGCCCGCCAGAGCTGCTCGAGGCGGCTCGCATTGCCCTCGGAGAGGGCGAGGGGCGCGGGGGATATTTTCCCAGAGGCCTTCTGCCTTCGCCGTCGGGGGTCTTTCAGGATCGCGATACCCCCGAGGAGAATCACATCCGCTTGATGGGGCGCGCGCCCGGATGGCTCTTCGAGGGAGATGTTTTGTGGGTGGCTCTTTTTTAAAACCCAGCATGGTGGCCTGCGCCGCGCGGGGATGGTCTGCCATCAGCTGCAGGGATGATGGCTCGTTCAGGTGTGGAATGTATGGCGCCGTTCCCTTGGCATGGTCTTTGACGCAGTCCTCTAGGGGCGCGGGAGATCATGCGTTCCGCATGCCGTCGCGTTTCTCGGTTGGCATTGCGAGCGACGGGCCCCCGACTGTCTTTGCAGACTGCGCCGGGGCCGTAGGTTGCACCAAGAACGCCTCGAAAGCGCTGGGCCTCATGAATCCCAACATGCATTTTTGGGAGTGCCGTTGGCATAAGCACGGAGAAAGTGCGAGCGTGAGAAAAGTCAAGGCGCACTCGTCGGCACCTCAAGATGCCTCCTTTTTCGATGCGCGGCGCGAAGCTTGGCAACAGTCTCGATGACCGCTGGGCCAAAAAAGGGGCCCCGCTCTGGAAGGTGCCCCCCAGAAAGTCCTCTTCCTGGAAGCCTTCGAAGACATAGCTGCCAGTTGGATTGGTCTCGTGCACGCGCGGATAGGAGACCGCGAGGCCTGGGGCACTGAAGCGCCGCCGCCCGAGCCCGAGCCCGAGCCGATCGACGTTGGCGGCGTGGATGCGGGGGTGGTGTCTGGGAGGCCGTGGCGGTTTCAAGGGCGCTCGGTGGTGAAATGCGATGTGGAAGGTCTAGATCACCCGTGCTTTTTTGTTTGCAAGTCCTGCGGGGCCTCGCTGGCCCAGCGAGTGGCGCCTGGGAAGGGCATTGCGGGGGCCTGGCTGGGCCCGAGGCACCCTGGGCTTCGCTCCCAGAGGTCCCGTCTCTGTCGGCACCTCCACCCCTCGGCCCTCCTTCCTCCTCCGCGGATTTCTGTTTTTAGAGGCCCCGAGGAAGAGGACATCTTGTGGCTCCAGGGGAAGCTGGGGGGGCCTGGCGGTGGTGTTGGGCCCTCGGTTGGGGGCGGGCCCTCGCTGGGGCCCGCTGGCGGGCCCTGGGTGCCCTGCGGCCTGCGGCTCCCAGGCCCCCTTATCAGCTTCCATCAGTGCGGGGTCGTGGTCCCCGTGCTGGACCTGAGGCGGATTGCTCGCCTGCATGGGTTCGCCTCGCCCGATTTGGCGGCTGAATGGGCGGAGCACTGCAGGCGAGCTAAGCTCGATGTCGAGGCTGCCAGGGCCTGGCCACTACAGGGCGTCTAGGCCCTTTCTCGCCGCTGCGGCCCCTCACCTACCCTTCTCCTCCATCTACAATTATTCAATATGAATACTACTCTCCCTCTTCCCCTGATGGCGGTTTGAAATTGGCCGACCCCCCTCCGCGTACTGTTTTTTAACGCAGGTTTCCCCGGAGTTGGGTTTTGGCTTGCATTTGTTTCCAAAATGCTGCTCTCGCTGAGGCGCCGCCTTCATTTTCGGGCCCCGCTCGTTCCGAATCGTGCTCCCGCTGCAGCGCTGGCCTCATTTCCGTGCTTCCGCTCGTTCCGAATCGTGCTCCCGCTGCAGCGATGGCCTCATTTCCGCGCTTCCGCTCGTTTCGACTCGTGCTCCCGCTGCAGCGGTGGCGTCATTTCCCGTGCCATGCCACGGCATGCAATGCAATGCTAGATTGATACTACGCTTTGCGGTGCTCTTCTACGCCATGCCATGCCGTGCTCTACAATGCATCGCGTACCCTTTCGGGATCATTGCCCTGCTCGACATCCGACTGAGCGAGTCGAGAGGGGATCTGCGCCATGGTAAGGGATGGGAGGGAGGGGTAGGATGTCAGATATGACGCGAGCGCGCCTAGCTTGCCTCCTCCCCCTCTCCCTCCTCCACCACCTTCTGCTCTTCCTCCTCCTCGGGTCGCCTACGGACCCGGGGGACACCGTGCACCTCAGGAGGTCTTTTTATTCCTGCACCCCCCCCCCTCTTCCATAATATTCCTGGCTGGCAATGAACGCCATGCGTCCCCCGGTTCGCCCTGTCCTTCGCCTCCTTCTCCTCCTCCTCTTCTCGTTTTCTTCCGCGACGGCGGCGAACGAACGAACGAACGAATCAACCATGCCCCAAACGCGCGTGGGCCAATCGAACGGCGAACATATGAGGGACACGCAAAACGCGTGCCGAAATTGCGCCGCGACGCGCCAAACGCGTGTCCTCATAGACCAGACGCACCAACTGCGCGCCTGGAGGATCAGGATGAAGGATGAGGGCGACGATTGATGAATACTGAACCGGCCATGGCAAAGACGGTTCAAAGGAGCATGGGTGATGGGTTCGATCCATGTTTTCTCGTCGGCAACGCATTGCGTGAGGTCGGTTTCAGTGCTGAAGCACGTTTTGGTTTAATTGTACAAGCTGTTCGCCCACTCATGTCTTGGGCGGCCGGGCGCTCGAACACACACACACATCGGCGGTTGGTTCCGAGCTCCTTGATTGAAGCGTCAATGCCCTGAGCACGTCTGGGTCGTGGCAGCGCCCAATCTCGCCAAACCAAGCCACTTGATGATTCATTTCAGCATTATGACGTTGTATGTCGGCCCCCAAGCCTTTTCATCAAAAACCGTCTTCTTTGAAACTCTTGATTCGTGGGCGTGCGGGATGTTAAACGTGCGCCTGAGACAACGGGCTTGGAATCCATCCAGTATCATGCGTTCTTGTTTGCTCAGCCATGCCGAATTTAGTGATACATGCCTCCGCTTGTACTCAGCGCCTCGAATGCTTAAACTTCCCCCCAAGTTGCCCCCAGTCTTTGTTGGGTTCCCGGTTTGTGTTCCCACAGTCGTGAATATTTGCTCCCACATATTGCATGTGCCCGCATGGCCGAATGACTTTTCCAGCAGGGGTTCGCAGTCGTACATCACATCCGTATTGGAATAATTGGAATGTGTTCCAATGCAGTTCCATTCCAACTTCTGCTCTGGACGCTGCAATTACTGTCCTCCTCCTCCTCGTTCTTCCCCTCCCCTTCTCGACTTCCTCCGCGACGGCGGCAGCGGCAAAATAATCATTTAACCATTAGGGGAGGTACTAAGACCGATTGCGGTCACAAAGACAGACAGCATGTCCTGTTCAGTTGAAGAGGACTCGTCGCCGTCGGTGTCGTTGCGGACATTGTCTATCTTAGGTCGAAGGCCAAAGGCCATCTGTCCAACAGCCGCCGCTGTTGGTTTGTGGAAACATTTGTTGTTGGGCATCGTACCCATATTCCGTACCCATTTGGGGAAAGGATGTGGCATTGTGTTCGCATGCAGCGCGCCGCGAAAAGCAAGTATCGTTATCACATTTGCTGCCTAACTTTGGAGCCGGCTGGGGGCCTGAGTTGGCCCAGCATTGGTTCGGCGAGCAGGAAGTGGGAAGCGGCTCGAGGTGTTGGGTTCGGTTGGGTTTTCTGCCTTTTTCTGCCTCTTGGGACCGTTTTCGGGCCCAGGGTTGTCAAAAACGAATCCGGGTTGAGGAGCTGCGCCAGATGGATTTTAGGTCAGGTTTGGGGACCGATTTTGAATGGGCGTGGCCTCATCCTCCCCATCCGACCGACCTTTCTGGGGCCCAACCAGTTCAGACCCCCCGGCCGACTCCAAGTCTAAGTTGTTCTCTTAAGCAATGCTGGAAGTAACTATGCGTGCTTGCCGTGCCGCGTTTTGCAGTTTTACAGGTTTGTTTTAGGCGGCAATGACTGCAATGTCCGCGCATGGTTGTCCGCGAAGGGAGCATGATAGCCCCCTTGGAGAACAGCGGATTTTCTGGTCGTGTTCATGGAAAAAAGGTACCGTTTAGCCTATCCCCATCCCCACTGGGCCACGATAACTCAGCCCCACCATCCCACCCCCCCTTTTTGAGAATATGCCCCTCGAAACCCGAGGGGAAGAGCCCACATCCCGACTCAGGGGGTAGGTACATCGGCCAGAGGGGCCGAGACCATGCCATGCCAGTGGGGGTGGGGATCGGTTAAACGATGGTCAACAGGGATGTGGCTCTGGGCATTTAGGGACAGGAAGCGGCACACGTTTGAGCTTTCGGAGTTCTGCGCGGATACCTTCGATCTGCGCTGGCCCCCCCTGGCGGCGCTTCCGGCGCCGCCTTTGGCGTGCTCCGTGCGCCAGGGAGGGTGGCCCAGGAGCGATCCAAGAAGTCCGCGCAGAGATTCGAAGGTTTACATGTTTGTGCAGGTTTGGTTCCTCTGTCTGCGGCTTGTGGGCGGCCGACCAGGTGCCAAGAGGCGGTCGGAGCGCCTTACTGTGCGCGATCCAGCTGAGGGTGATCCTCTCCTCTCCCCTGATCCTCCTCCCTCCACTGCCGATTGCGGGATCTGTTTCTGGGTCCGCAGGTTGGAGCTCCTTGTGGTGCACGAAACGTCTGAGGGGTGTGTCGAAATGAGCGCTATGAGGGCCATGCCCACTGGGGCCTTCGGTACTGCTCCCTGTTGGGGCATTCGGTGGGGCTCCCCATTGGGCCACAAAACGTGTGACCCCACTGTGAGGGGTGTGCCGAGATGGGCGGCGGGGACGCCTTGTGAACATGACCACTGGGGCCTTAGGTGGGGATCCCCATGGGGCCACGAAGCGTGTGACGGGTGTGCCGAGAGGGGCGGCGGGGACACCATGTGAGCCCGCCCACTTCGGCCTTTGGTGGAGTTCCCTGAGGGGTTACGAAACGTGTGAGAGGTATGCCGAAATGGGCGGCGGCGGGCGCATGCGGACATGCCTGCTTGGGCCTTCGGTGGAGCTCCCTGAGGGGGGCCACGAAACGTGCGAGGGGTGTGCCGAAATGGACGGGATGAAGTCATGCAAACATGCCCACTTGGGCCATTGGTTGAGCTGCCTCTGGGGTCACGAATCGTGTGAGTGGTGCCGAAATGGCGGCGGGGGCGCATGCGGACTTGCCCACTTGGGCCTTTGGTGGAGCTCCCTGATGGGCCACGAAACATGTGAGGGTTTCCCGAACTAAACATGCGAAGAGTAGAGGCAAGGAAGGGAAGGGTTGCGGAGGGCATAGGGAAGAAAGTGGAGTGGGAGGCGGGAGGAGGAGAAGGAGGAGGAGGAGGAGGAGTGATTCAAAACGATGATCCATCACAAAAGGAGGGATGGAGAGAGCCTGTTCTGCCATCGGGGACGGCTCTCCCGTGGCGGCTGGAAAAGTTTACACCCCCACGTGGCGCCGTATGGGTGTCAAATTTTCCAGCTTCGTTGTGACAGACGTCCCAGATAGCGGAAGCATCATTTTGTAAAGTGTTTCGCCTGTTAAGTGTCTAGCGACCCAGGCTCTCATTGATTGATCTTCACGGCGGGTTTTGCGTGCAGGCCTGTCACAGTCGTGGTCAACGGCAGTGCGAAAGTGCATATTAGTTGGAATGGGAGGAGTTATGCTCCTTATTATCTTTGGGTGGGCCGGCAGTTTCAGCGCTACTCCTCGAGAGACAGTCGATATGGCGGGTTCCCCCTCTGGGCGTGAGGGGATCTTGTCCACCGTTTCGGTCGGTATTGAACCCTGGAATCCCAGCGTCGCATGTCATTTCCAACGGGCAATGTTGCTTTGTATCGGGCCCGGAGACCCTCACCGATTGATCTGGCTCGAACATTGCGTCAGAGAGATGAGGTCCAGGGCTTCGGTCTTTTTGATTTACGATGTTGTATTTTTGTCCGTGTCGTCGGATCTCAAGGAAGGTTGAGGAGGGTCGAAGGGGAAACGAAGATAGGACGATTCACGCTATTATTCATGTCGTGAGGGCGGCCTCGCGAATTGGGAGCAGATCCGTCTGCGTGTGGCGCGGACGTCCTTCTGGGGCCCCGTGGTGGAGCAGGGGGGTGGGAGGGTGGGCGCGTGGTGTACGTCTCCAGCGGCGAGGCGCGCAAGCTAGTCGGGTCTGCCCGCTTGCGCGCGGGCCGTACGGGTTGCCGCGCGCAGCATGCCCGCGGAGCCGCGTGGGGGGGCTGGCGCAGTCAGGTCTGACATCATCAGCTGGCAGCCGTTGACGTGCTGCGCGTTCTGTGCTGCAAGCCGCTGCCACGTCTGCGGCGTTTGTAGCTTGCTCGGGCTTTCTGCGAAACCTGCGCTCCTCGGATACCCTGTCATTGCTGGACGCTTATGGGTTCGACGACCAGTAATAGCGTTGTGGACTCTGTGTCGTATTGAGGAATTGACACACCACGATTGTCGAGCGTCAAATCTCAGAATGGCTGAATTGAGGTTCATGCCAGCAGATTTTCTGTTTCGGATATGGTTGGCAATCGGATTGCCATTAAGAGTTGACCGCCGATTCTGTACTCCACTCTGCGGCGAGCGTGTTGACGTCGTGCCCCCCTCCTGTGTCTCTGCCAGAGACCGGCGACGTTCACAAGGTGCCGTTCGACAGGTCATTCGGGGAGCAGTCTGTTTGAAGTCAGACGCTGGTGTTCCTGCAGTGACTGTGTCTCCATTGGTACCCACCACTGACGCCCGACACCAGGACCATTCTGCCGCGCCCGCTCCAATCCAAACATTGCCGTGGTGCTCCGCCTCCCCCAGAGAAAAGCGGCGCGCACAGGATCCAGACGACTGGGCTCAGCCGCATGCGGGTTCGACCGAGCACTATCGAGGCAGTCGGCCGCTTTGACAGCTTGATGTGCATCCATACTGTTTATGGAATGACAGTTTGACGTCCATCTTGCACGTTCGTTGTTTACGAGGTTTGGAGCGCGAGCACAGCACAAGCGCCACACACATGCATGCATTTGCGTGTCGGTTTCCGTTGTGTGCATTGTGAGAGGCTTTTGTTTCCCGTCTCTCGTTGTCGCCGCCGCCGCGTTGCCGTCATCGCTGTGGCGGCGCGCTTTGGCCTACAAGTCTCTTGTGGCTTGGCAGTTCTTGTCCAATCATCTTGTGGGGATAAATGTAGATACATCGATCAATCCCCATGCAAGCCGATCGAACAGTTCTGCCGAATCAAAGACTCTCCAGAGATAACCAGGCCGTGGAATATCCAGCGCCAGCCGACGGTCAGAAGACGTCGGGAAGCCCTTACTAATGGCTTCATTGCTTCCGAAGCGATCTGGCGTCGGCCTTGCCGATGCTTGCCCTTCGGATCCCACCACAGACTTCCTCCGATGCCTGCGATCCGATGTCTGGACCGACTCGGTGCGCCGGCCGATCCGACGCCGGGGCCGGCGCCGCCCCACGGACCAGGCAGACTGACGGTTTTCCTTCACGGTGGCGGCGGCGAAGCTGCGGGTGGCCACGATCCTGCGGTGCCAAAGGGCGCCTCCCCGCGCTCCTTCCGCACTGCGCGCCCGCGCCCCCTCCGCGCGAGCGTGCACGGGCCCCGTCGCTCGCGGCACGCCTCGGCCCCTGCGGGTCCCCCGAGGGTGCCCTCCTGAGGCCCCCATCGGGGCCCGGTCCGCTCGGCCGCCAGCCCGTTCGGCCCCCAGGCAGGCTCGATCTTGAGCCCACACGGCGGCCGGAGGGGCTCGCACGCCGAGTGGGCGCAGGGGGAGCCCCGGGCGAGCCCTGCCTCGAAGCGGGCATGGAGGACGAGGGGGTCCGGAAGGGAAGGGGTGCGTGGTGTGCTGGGCCGGTCTCCTGCCGCTGGGGCCCCCCACGGGGCCCCGGGGCCGTCACATGACGACGTTCGGGACGCACGAGGTGGTCCCGAGGAAAGCCCTGGTGTCGAGTACTCGTTTCCCTCAGAACGCCTCCGATGGGGATGAAGGGGTGCAGTGCGGGCAAGATTTGCATCCATATTCACTGCGTCATGGATTTTTCTGGGAGGGGACACCACCAGGCCGAAGCGCAGTGAATATGTATGAACATCTATAGCCTCTAGGGGCAAAATTTTCATCCATGTCCACTACGCCCCAGGTGTCTTGGGGAAGGGGACCCAAAACTCCAAGTTGCAGTGGACACGGATATACATGTGGCCCGCATGCAGAAGTTACAAAATCAGGATCGGCCTCTGTCCGAGTGCCCAGGCCCACACACGCACACAAGCAGCAGGCACGGGCCCAGGAGCGGTCGAGGGGCCCGAAGGAAAGGAACGATTGGAGAGAGGGAAAGGAGCCCAGGAAAGCCAGCATAGTTTCTCCAGGCGAGAATCGTCGAGGAGTACAGCACTGCTTCTGTCTTTCAAAGCGGACTACAAGATCTTCCCTGGCACAACGCCAGCAGCGGGGACTCCTCGGGGAACCAGAGTGGGCAAGGCTATTCAGCCCGCGTGTCTCTTGGCACAGGCACCCTCTGAGCAAGCATGCTTCGCGAGAGATCACCCAGGGTGCTATTGTGCTATTGCCATTTTAACAACGGAGAGGGGGGATGCAGAGGAGGAAGACGCGCACATGGTGAGAACCTGGCGCCGCGCGCAGTGGGGCGGGCGCGAGGGGGGCGGCCTTCAAGGAAGGCGGGGGGGCCTCTCAGCAGGCAGTGGCCTTCGAGGAAAGGCCTGGGGTTATGATGTTCCAACCTACTTTAGCCTGAACCATCAGAAAGAATTTCGAGCACCAAGACTGTTCCGAAACTGGAGGGTTTTCACGTGTCGGGCTCTGGGAAGCGATATTCGTTCGACACTGTTTCGATACTTCCTGGGTGCTCGACATTCTTTGTTGGTTCAGGTCCTCCAGCGCGATGGGGGACAACACGAGCCTGGAGGGACTTTGAGGAGCCGGTCGGGCTCCCGAGAAGCCACCCGCCGCCTTCTCAGAAGCCCGCCCGCCCTCCCCGAAGGCTCCCCCCCCCCGCGCGCGCCGCCTCCTCGAGAACACCCCGCCAGGGAAGACGGGAGAGCGGGCAAGATTGAGGCGGACGACCGTGGAGGTCCGCCCAGGGAGGGAGGCGTCGAGCACCCGGACCCCTTCGTCTCGTCGTCCCTCCCTTCTTCCCGACGGCACCGAAGCACGAAGGCCGCAGCGAGGCACTGAATGAGGATGAGGATGAGGAGGAGAAACATGTTTTTGCCTCCTCATCCCACCTCGTGCGTCTGCTCCCCTTTCGCCTGCGCCTCCTCCATTCCACCGCATCTTCCTCCTCCCGCTCTCCTCCTTCCATCCTTGCCCTCCTCCTTCTCCTCCCCCTCCTTGTCTGTATCATCCATCCCTCTCCCTCTCTGCTCTCTTCCTCCTCGTCCCCCTCGCCCTCCTCGTTCCCCTTCTCATCCCCTCCTCGTCCGCCTCCTTCTCCCATATGTTGCCCCTCGCATGTCCCCTCCTCCTCCTCTTCCTCCTCCTCCTCCTCCTCCTCCTCCTCTTCCTCCTCCTCCTCCTCCTCTTCCTCTTCCTCTTTCTCCTCCTTTCCCTCCTCCCCTCACTCATCATCCCCTCTTAGTTTCCATTCCTCTTGTTCTTCGGGCAAGCAGGTTCGTGTCGTGTCGACCCTGGCGTTGGACCCTGACACAGAGGGGATTGTTCTCAACCTTTCACGATCGGCTGTTTCCGGATCGTCAGATCGTTCAACATCGACCGATTCCTGGTCGCCGGCGGCGTTCAACGTTGAGCGCCGGCGGCGGGGTCGCCGCCAGTCGACACGACGCCGAGAGGGCGTCGCGGCTGTTATTTTGCGGGTCCAGGTCCGTCGGTGTCGGTCCCTAGGCTGTTTTTACGAAGGGGAGGTTTACTAAAGGGGAGGTTTGCCCACCGCCGACCTCGTCCCCCGCCCTGCCCTCCCCCGCGCCACGGGGCAGGCGAGCCTCCCAGGTGGCTGTGGATCTGGCCGCTCTCGGATGAGTCCCACTGCGAAAGTGGCTCGAGCCCAAAGGAAATCCTCGAGGCTCGAGGTTTTTGATCTCACCCGCTCAAAGCCATGCGCCGTCCAGCGCGTGGGCGGGGAAAATAAATTCAACACTGCATGCACAGCATGGAGGAGGGAGGATGAGGAGCGAAGGAAAAGAAGAACACACGGGAGGGGGGGTTTGAGCGCTATCGGTGAAGGCCTTACGGTCGGTGCCGCCTAATTACGCTGTTCGATAGGACGAGGAGGAGGATGAGGAGGACGAGGAGGAGGAGGACAGGAGGAGGGGGAGGAGGAGGAGGAGGAGGAGGAGCAGCAGCGAAGGTGGAGGAGGAGCAGGAGGCAGAGGACGGGAGAGGCAGGGGAAGCAGGGGCAGCTCGAGGCGTTTGAACGTTGATGTTTCGTCTGGAACTCTCTGGAGGGCCGCCAGGGACCTCAGGGGATCCAGGGACCTTCAGGGACCTCCGGAGACCTAAACGCCTCGTTGATAGTCACTGCGCGACTACTGGGCGTCGCAGGTGAGACAACAGTGTTGCGCTCTTGCCTGCAACAGGGCAGACTGCCAGTACTGGCAGGTGCGGCGCAATGACCTGGGCGGGTGGGTAGGACAGCCCTGGTCTCCCGAAGGATTTTGTTGCACCCTCACCTGGAAAGGGGGGGCAGATGGGGCCGTGGGTTCAGGCAGGCCTAGAATGATGGCACAATGCTCCAGACTGTTCCGGAGCGCTCTCAGAGCGTTCTGGCACGCCTGATACATGATCCAGATTCGCCGGCTCTCATGGATTCTCGATTTGTTATCATACATCTGTTCTTCATCTTGTGTTCGTCTTGAATGGTGGTTGAGAATTATTCTCTTGAGCGCCTGCGCTGGGCATCCAGTACACAGGCATCGCGTGCATCCGCAAACTCCGCACTCCCTGGTGTTGTTGGTGGTGGTGGGTCTCGCCCCCCCGGGGAGAGCAAAAAGGGGAGGGACAGGAGTTGAAGTCCCAGGAATTAGGTTTTGGCACGATTAAAGATTGTCAGGACGCAGCAGTAACGTTGATTGTCTGCGTTGATGTCCCAGGAATGGACTCTCAGACGGTTGTCTTCCAATGGGGCGCTTCCCACACCGAAAATGAATTCTTGCAGGGACCTATGAAAAGGGAGTTTGGAGGAAGGGTGGTTGCAACACTGTTGATGCGGCGTCTTGGCTTTGCAGCGGTCATTCTCGTCCTCCTCGTCCTCCTCCTCCTCCTCCTCCTCCTGCTTTGCAGTGGTCCCCCTCCTCCTCCTCCTCCTCCTCCTCCTCCTCCTCCTCCTCACCCTCCTCCTCCTCCCCCGCACCCCTGGGGGCGAGGGGCGCACGCACAGCTGGCGCCCTCCCCCCCCCCTCCCTCCCCCTCTCGTTTACGTATCGTATTTCTGGTCACCCCCGCTGACGCAGCAGCCGCCTAAGCTCCTTGCGCGGCGCGCCTTCAGGCAGCTCCTGACTAATCTGAAGTTTGGCGTGTCCCTCTACAGGAAGAATGTTCAAAAATAGGAAAAATTGTAAGTGGACAATTTGTTAAGTATTTTTGATAGCTGTTTTGTTGCATATTTTGGGTATGCTCTATTTTCCGTCCAAATCCGCCCTCGGGAGTATATGCCCGAACCAAGACCAAACTGGCGGGTTCCCCGAATCCATATTCCTCCTGCAGCGGCCTAGTCGAGTCAGCAGCAGGAGACACGTGGCCCCCAAGCGCCCCTACCTGACCTCACCCTTGGGAGTGAGCATCACTGAGCGGCCGTGGTCGCTCCTATGGAGTCGACGCTGAGCGCTGAGGCGTTGCGCTGGCGTCCAACCTGCAGCGCGCCCGGCCACGCGCGGCGCGAAGGGAGGAGGAGGAGGAGGAGGAGGAGGATGAGGAGGAGGAGGAGGTGGAGAAGGAGGAGGAGAAGGAGGAGGTGGAGAAGGAGGAGGAGAAGAAGGAGGAGGAGGAGGAGGAGGAGGAGGAGCAGGAGGGAGGGAGGAAGGGGGAGGGAGGGAGGGAGGGAGGGAGGGAGGGAGGAGAGCATCTCTTGCGTCCGCACAAGTTTGCGCGTCCATTCCCTCGGGGAACGCAAAAGGCCTGTTTTCGATGTCTGCCCAACGTCAGGGAGGACGAAGGAAGGGAGGGAGGGGGGAGGGAGGACGGAGCGAGGGAGAGGAGGGGGGGAGGGGGAGGGAGGGAGTGAGGGAGAGAGGGAGGCCCTGGGGCGTCTTCCTCTGCCACGGTTCCCTGACCGTCGGTGCCGTTCTCACCCTCAGCTTGCCGGCCGGTGGGGGCGGGCGTCAGAGCGCGGGCCCGCGCGGCCTGCCTGAGAAGTGTGATGATCTCGGGCCGAGTGTTCGACGAGTGTGAGACTGAGGGAAGAATTCGTTTGACGAGATGTTGTGGTTCCCCCGTGTAGTGGACGTGAGGCGTATTCCTGTCTTGTGTTTAGGTTCATAGCCGTAGCATTATTATCAAAACACTTGGGCAACTGGACGTCGTGTCCACACTGTTGTTTTCCGCTGCCGAGGATCGGGGGTTGCTAATGGCGTCGCTGGCCAGGGTGCCCCCCAGCTTTTCGTCGTTCCGTGCTGGAGCCCCTCTGGCCCTCTGGGCCTCGCGAGAGGCCCCCTGGAGGCCGGGCTTCTCCTTGCACATCTTGGGGGGCACATTTGGCCAGGCCACGCGCAGAGGGGGGGCAGCACCCGAGAGGAGCGAAACAATGATGTACGCGTACATCAATACACGTTGTTTCCGAGAGTATTCATTACGCGAACCTTCGTATCACGCGGCTGGTCTCGCGGACCACGGGGCCGTGTTCATGCACGTGGGTGGGCGCGTACGTTCACTGTGGGTTTCCAGGAGAGTCGCAGGCGATCTTTTCTCCCCCATAAGGGGCTATCCAGACGCACCCCTATCGAGGATGGACGCCTCCCATCGTATATCCCAGGGTTTGGGCCCACAGTTGCTTGTCCATGTGGGTCCGAAATGGACCAGCAATTGTGGGCTTCCGAAATTTTCGGAAGCCCCACGACGCCTGGGATAGGGGTTGACGCATCCCCTGCCGGCGAGGAGGCCCAGGGCGCCCAGAGCCCTTCCCTCCGGCGACCCCGCAGGCGACGAGCAGGCCAGGACGTCCCTGAGGCAGCAGCGCGCCGGCACGGAGACCCCTGCCCCCTGCCCATCGCTCCAGCCTCGGAGCTGTGCAGAGGAGGAGGATCGAGGCTTGAGGCTTGAGGCCCGAGGCTCAAGGATCGAGGCGGAGGAGGAGGAGGAGGCTCGAAGGGGAGGATCGAGGAGGAGGATGAGGATCGAGGATCGAGGAGGAGCATGGAGGTTCGACGTTTTTGTGTGCTCTCGTCCCCTCTTGGGCCTCGGCAGACTTGCAGAAGCCTCAGGAGGCCTCTGGAGACCAGAGGCCTCTTGAGGAGACCTCGGGGGTCCAGCGGGTGCTACTGGGGGTCCTGGAACGTGGGCCCAGGAACGGACAGGAGCGAAACTGAACGCTCCTGCGGGCATCGGCCTGGGCCTTTTCAAGGCCATGGCCTCGCAGGATCAGCCAGGGACGTCGGTAGCCTACCCGGGATGTCGGAAACAGCTGGAAACATTCGGGCGGGTGGTAATGGGAGAGTAATTTACATAGGTGGTGAAGAGAAGGGCCCTCAAGGGCCAGTTCAGGGCCCCCCTCAGAACCCCTTATTCAGGTTACCCCCCGTTACCGCACGCCCGATGGCGGGGCTTCCTCTAGCTCCTTCCTGGTCCCCCGTCGCTCTTCAGTCCTGCAGGACATGGGTCCTGAGATTCTTGGTCTTCCGTTTTCGGTTTCTGGGGCTCGAGGATCGAGGAGGAGGAGGATGAGGACGAGGCTCGAAGAGGAGGTTCGAGAATCGAGGATCGATGGTCGAGGAGGAGAGTGGAGGTTCGACACTTTTGTGTGCGCTCATCCTGCTTGGGCCCCAGGGCCCTCAAGCAACGGCTCGAGAGGAGCTGGTCTCGGGGGGAGCGCCCCAGGGCCGTCCAGGGCCCGATGCCAAAGGAATGCGTGCCTTTGTTATGTTTTCCTGATGGCCACCAGGGGCCTGGGCCCCTCGTCGCCTCGGCCAAGAGGGGGAGCAGGAGCAGGAGAAGGACCGAGTGGGAGTAGTGGCAGGCGCCGAAGATGGCGCCTCGAAAGCATATCATGCCCCCGGGGACCACATCACGGACTTAGCAGGACAGTGGCAAGTTAGGGAAACGACACCCGTTCTGCAGAGTCAGGTTTGGTCGTCCAGTGCATGTTTTTGTTGCTGCGCTGCAGGCAGGATTCGGGTCTGTGTCTGGGTCCAGGGGGGGGAGGGGCAGGCTTCTTGTGCCTTGCCCACGCTGGTTCCTGGATTGTTGAAGTGCACCTTTTTTGTTCTGTGGTGGCGTCTGAGAACAAATTGGTTTCGAGGGGTGTTGGATGTCCTGGTCTAGCGTTTCCGGGCTTACGGGGCCCTGAACATCCAGATGGCCGGTTTGTCGCCGTGTTTTGCTCTGGACGACCGTGCCTGGCTTCGGGGCATAACGATTCGGGATGAACAGTTGCCCTGGGGAAGTGGCGCCGAGAAGTCCAGATTGATGCTTACTTACTTGTTTTCCACTAAGAAGAGGAGGAGAAGGTCGGAGGATGATGGGAAGGAGGAAGACCAGGCAAGCAGGACGAGTTGAGAGGATGAGAAGGAGGAGGAGAAGGAGGAGGATCATGTTATCCATTGTGGAGTAGGAGGACAAGGAAGAGGAGGTGAGAAGATGTCACAAGCAAGCAATCAAGAAGGCCGAGCATCCAGAGGGACGCGTGGGCTGGTCGGCAGAGGTGCTCGTGGCTCTTTCCAGGATTCGCTGCAACAATATCATCGCCAACAGTCCTCCGTATACCATCAGAGGTACAAGGGCTTGGGCTAAGCAGCAGGGAGGAGGAGGAGGAGGAGGAGGAGAAGGAGGAAAAGGAGGAGCAGGAGGCCAGCAGATGAGCAGCATTTTATGTTTTTTTGTTTAAGCGATTCTTTATGCACCTCAGTTGTCCACTGCTGTCGTGGACGGCCACGTCGCCTGTTGGCCGCCCCGGAAAAGCGCCAGATGTCTGGAGGGAGAGTGCGGGAAGAAGCTGCGGAGCCAGGCGAAGGAGGGCGACGAGGGAGGTGGACCGATCGGGGGAGTTGCTGGGTGGGTTAGCACGCCGTGGCAATGTGAAACTTCGATTGGGTAATGCCCGGGGGTGCCTGTCACGCAGCGACGCCCTAGACGATTATCAATAGGTTTGGTAGCAAATCACGGGATGGTAGTATGTCCTCATAATTTCGTTAAGAGTGCATTTGCGTGCGCTAGCGATTGGTAATCGAAGAGAGAGCGCCGATTTGGCGTTGACGAGTGTCGATTTAGCGTCGATTAGCGTCGGTTAGCGCCCATTCGCAAGAGCCAGCAAGATGGCATGGGAGGTTCCCATGAGTTGCCCCCGAACATTGGGTTCCAGACCTGCTCGTTGCCGTCGTCGTTTCATCGAGAGTATTGGAGAAGGCCTTGCGGCCGGTTCCTCCGACTGCATGGGAGATCAGGAGGGGACCCCCAGGAAGGCATCGGTTTCTTGGAGGCTTTCAGGAGCATTTAAGAGTCTATTGGGATCTCCTGAGGGCGTGTTGGCGGTCAAGAAGCCATACGCTCAATGGCGCGTGGGCGAAGCAACGCATTGCACTGTACTGCTGCTAGTGGCCATTGTCTCCACCAAGGCGCGTGGCAGACGAATGCACCACTGGCACCGCGTCGGGCGTCGGAAGCGAGAGCAGAAAACCACATCACGACTGCGACGCACGAGAACGGCACGCCCCACGACTGTAATGCGCAGCAGGGTTGTGAAGCAAAAAAAGCCCCGTGCAGAGGCGGAGGAGGAGGGATGAGAGGAGGAGCAACTGCGTAGGTACGAGCGAAATCCAGGATCACTCGTGCTCGTCAACGAACTTCGTCACAAAGCGGCACCATTGTCCTTTGTCTGCCCCGCACTGGGAGAGAGCCGAATAAGATTCGAAACAGCTTCTCATCTTCTGGTGCAGGCACTTCGCCCACTCGTGCCTGGGGCGCCCACGCTTCCGCACAAGAGTATCAGTGATCGGTATCACGCTGCATTGTTGTAAGGTTAGTTTTCGGAGCACTTCTGCGTCGCTTGTGCGGCCAAGTTTCCAGAGCCATATGAGTTGATGCTGAAGTAGTTGAGCACTGCAGGGCTTCGCTCCCGCCTGTTGTAGCACACTCTTGTTGGACACTCTTGGGATATTAGAATGGGGAAGGGTCAGAACATGAAGAAGGCATCACGCCTGGAACCCATCCAAAAGTCGTCTGTGGCTTTTCAGGTTGTCTTTAGCCAGGCAGAGTTCAACGAACACAGAAGCTCAGTCCTAGTCAGCGCCCCGAGTACGTTCAGCTTTCGCTCTGTACTGATGGACGTATGATTCCAAGCCCGAGTGCATCTTCGAGATTCACCCCAAGCTGCCCCCAATCGTTCAACCAGCTCTTGCTTCATGATGCCGGAGCTGTGGATCGTTGCCCCCAGGTATTCCATTTGTTCGGTAGTTGGAGTCACACTACCATTTGGGGCCAGCATTTGGGCGTCGCAGCCTATTTGAACCAGTTGAAACTTACCCCAATGAATCTCCATCCCCACTTATTCTCCTGCCTGGGCGATTGCATCTAGCAGTACTTGAGATTGACCAGCGCGTCGCCCAATCAGGAGGGTGTCGTCGGCGTGCAACAGAGCAGACAAATCTCCAGCAGCAACTGCTTTGAACGATTACTCGTCCTGTTTGTCTTCTGCATCCTTGATGACCAATCTCATCATCCTGACAAAGAGGAACGGCGATAGAGGGCAACCCTGTGCAATTCCCGTGAGTGGGTTTCTAATGCTAGATTTCTGTCGCCCGTCTGTAATGCAAGAATGTCGATTCTCGCAAATATTAGCAATGAGAGTAAGCATGCGTGGAAGTACACCAAAATATGCAGTGCGTCCAAAAGAGCGGCCACCTTGATGGAGTCGAATGCTTTCTTCCAGCCCAGGGCAAGTTTTTTCGCCTGGACCTCCTCGTTCTGCCTCTGATATGTCGATATGTCTTCGCACAGCACGAGTTGCACCGATGGTGCTCCTCCGTCTCCTGAAACCAGACTGTCGTTTTTAGTTTGCTCTGGGCCCCAGCGTCTTGTAGTCTCCCCAGCAATAGCGCTGGCAATAACTTGTAAATCACACAGAGCAGGCGGTAATTGTCGCCCTGTAGATCGTAGTCACACCAACATATCTCCATCCCGTTGGCATATGTTTTTCCTTCCAACACGCGTTGACCAATGAAGCAAAATATTTAGGGTCTTGGGCTAAGGCTATCCAGAACTCCGCTGGTATGTCGTCTGGCCCGGATGCGTTCCCCCCCGCTTTTTTTGAGATTGCGGATCCAACATTTTTGTCTGCAAAATCGGCGTCGGCGATGGGCAGGGCGACTCCCAGTGGTGCTCGATCCAACACTGCCGCCGGCTGTACTTTCCATGGTCCTTCTTCCAAATGCTTGGCCATCGTGTCCGCGTGCTTTTCGCTATCAACAGGCTCTGTGCGGATTCGACCGGAATATTTTTCTAAGGATGCCCAATCTTTTTCTTAGACATGTTTCTCCACACACTCCGTTTTGTCGATGTTTGCTGATTTTCGGATGATTCCGTGATCTTGCCTGGCTCTTCTGTTGTATCAAAGTTTACGTTTTCTTTGAAGGTCAAGTCTGTCGTGTTGTATTTTCCCGGAGCGGAAGCGTTCTTTTTGTGCATTCCATTGCGTATTTTGCATTGTCCCACATGTCGTGCACATGTTTTTTTTCCGGGCTCGACGTTCGGCAGACATACGTCCGTAAAATGTCCACGGACTTCCTCGTCATCCAATGCAGCCGCGTCCGTCTCAGGGCGGCGATGCCGCGTGTCCGCATGCATCTCCAATGCCATAGTGCAGGTGACGAGGGAATGGTCGGTAGCCAACGCTGCACCACGCTAATTCCGAAGAGACTGGATAACGTCTAGCGCTCCCGCCGTGCATAAGAAGAAGTCTAAGACGTTATGCGAAAGCATGTTTATCGGAGCCTGATTGGTGATCCCGACCTCTCTGAAAGTCATTTTTTTCTTTCAGATCTTGTTGCATTAACGTGTCGGCAATGATCAATATATTGCCAAAGTAGAGGTCCAAGAGTATATCTCTGTTTGATCTTTCCACTTGGCGCACGGCTTCCCGCCCCCAGCCATGCAGTCCTGCCACATCATCTTCGCCAGGACGCGTTCGGCCAACGCGTGCACTCAAGTTGCCTAATACCTACCAGTTTGCCGTAATTTGCATTCGTCATCCAGCGCGTTGAAAAAGTCAATGCACTCTTCTGGCGGTCGTTGGTCATGAGGCGCATCTAGCCCCAGCATGCCGAACGTCTGCGCTTGCACTCGTAATTTGATACACGAATCCTGTCGCATATTTGTTTGGAAGATTTGATGCATCTTCTCATTCGTGGCGTAAAAATGAACGCAGCACCAGCCCAAATGTTTTCAGCACAGTCTGCTCCTGATCAAGTATTTAGGTCGTCTTTCAAATTTACTTCTGCGCAAGGTTTCCGAGTCTCTTGCATGCACAGCACGTCAATGCCATAGTTGGTCATGTATTGTATGAGTCCAGCTGTGTTGCTATCTGCACACTCTAACGTTACACGTTCCATATGTAATAGAAATCGATGCTCCCGCTCGTGGAGAAGGACTGCTTGTAGAAGTTGATGGAGCAGGAGGTGGTTAAGCAATTCGGGCGTTGGTATCTTTGCGGGGCGTAGGTATCTGTGCTCTGCCCGGGTGCGTGGCCATTGCCATGATTGGTCGCGGGAAGTTTGCCTTCGCCTGGTCGGTCGAAACAAGGAAGGTCAGAAGTCAGATCGGCAAGTTTTGGCCGAATAGCCAGAAAAGTGGCATCACTGGGTGCGTTGTCAACGTCTGGCTCCGCGTCCACCTCGTGAGTGCCAATCTTGAGTCAAACAGAAGCTAGGGTACCACCTGGAATGTCTGAGGCTCTCGCGTCGGGTCCGGCATTGGACGGATAAATCCATGTGGTAGGTGCAGCCAGTGCCTGCCGTGCATCCTATTTTCAAGTTTTGCCTTTGGAGTTTTTCTTTTGCTCCGCCGTTTGTGCCCTGAGCTGATCAATGAAATATTCTATCGCATTGTGTTTACAACTCTGCAAGTTTCTGGTGGTTTTGCTGATCGCATCCAGACTTCCAAGTACCCTAACCGTTTCAGTTGCCATGTCATGCGCGTATACCTTTGAAGCCAATTGCCCATCAGTTTCTATGTATATGTCGCTTCTTCTGAGACTCGGATCGTGTATGTAATCTGCAATTCGTCTTTGAGTCAAAATATCACCCCAAAACAATAGTTACGGGCAGCACGGTCAGCTGGTTCTCTGTCTTAAGCTGCCCAGACAAGCTTACTCTCACGTTTGAGGCCACCGTTGCGTAAATGAGCAACCGCCGTTCTCGGTCGAACACGCGGTCAACCTCCACAAATGATATGTCTTAACGCTTCCCTTTTGCGTACATATGGTTCGTGAGTTGGCTTTGCATTGAGGATATTTGTTCTCGGATGTATGTGCATGCCGTTTCGATGGAGTCGAATTTGATAATGTTGTTGGTGCCCGCGCTAATAGCACGTTTACCCTTACATTGTTAAGCGTTTGCATTTGTATTCTTGCGTAGCTGTTGACTGAGACCTCTGGGTATTAGGTGCCAGAGATGCCTATTGTTGTTCGGACTTTTCGATGTGCTGGTTCATCGTGTTCTCCTCGTTGACCGTACGAATGTGTGCTTCATCGAGCTCGTCGCCGATCTTGCCGATTTTCGTTAGCAAAGGCCGAGTGGCATCTTCAAGGTCTCGGCGAGAGCGGGCGATCTGTCCGCCAAAGCTCTCCGCGGACAGATCGATTCGAGCGGGCGATGCTTGAGCCTTGAGCCAAAATGGCTACGGAGATCCAGGAGGAATAAATTTAGTGGCCCCATGCCCCGTGCGCCACCGCGCCTGGGTTGTGGGTCTCTTGGGAGGCCACGCGGGGGCTTTCTCATTGGAGGCGATACTGCAGCCTTTTTTGGGCCTCTTTTGGGCCTCTTGGGGGGATCTCTTGGGGCCCTCTTGGCTGGCTCGGAGGTGATATAGGGGCGGAGGGCTCGGAGTGTCAAGAACTGATCCCCTTCTCGAGCCCCTCTTGAGGGCGTCCTGGGGCCATCTTGGGGATCTCTTGAGGCTTTCTCGCGCCCTTTGGTGGCCTTCTTAGTGGTCCCCTGGACCGTCTTGGGGCGATCTCGGGGACCGCTTGGGCCTTCTTGGGCCATCGGACGCACCAAAGACCAATAATCCCATCATGATGATTGCGTCTTGGAGCTCTCTTTCGGGCATTTTTGGAGCCCTCTTGTGGCAGTTGAGTTTTTGTCCGGGGGCCGTCTTTAGGGCATCTTGGGCAGTCCTGAAGCGCTCTGTGGCGATTTGAGGCCTTTCTTGGATTATCTCGGACTTCAGAATTGGCGAAAGACGGCCGAACCTGCTCGAAGGCGACCCGGAGAGGGGAGGGGGGGGGGGACCGTATTCTGACTTGGGACCCCCCCCCGTTGGGGAAGGATCGAATGGATGGTTTTTTTTTGTTCGGGGACGCCATGATATATCTCAGATTTCACGGTGCCTCTTCTTATTTCTTTACGTCCCTCCTTTGGGCCGCGCACATGCCGCCGGCCATCATTTGCGCCCCCCCCTCTTGGACGCCCCCCTCTTGGCCGCCCCCGATTTCTTCGACTTCGATTACGACCTCGATTACGACCAGGCTTGATTCACCTCGACCCGACGAGCGAGCCAAATTTGGTCTCCTGGAGGATTTCTTGGAAGATCGTGAAGACACTGGGTTCCAGGCCTGCTCCATGGCGTCGCCGTCGGCATCGAGATTATTTGATCGCTCGCTCCGAAATCTCATCCAGCGGCAGAAAACTACCTGCTGGATTATCTGATGATTTTGGTTTATTCGTCATCCTACCGTGCTGCTGCCCCCCAGAATTGCGCATAACGCCTGTCGGCAACGTTTTACGGACGCTCTGTACTGACACGTTACCGCCTGGAGGAGGCCGGATGTCCGTCCGCCGGCAGCGCGGCGCTCAGCGATGCGGGGGGCGCGGCGGTGGCCAGCGGAGTAAGCTTGGGCGGAGTGGTTCTAAGAACCCATCTGTCAGTATAGTCTAACCGATCCCCATTCCCATCCTCATCCCATTCGAGACCCCAACCAAATTACCCCCCAGTTGGGGATACACACCTCGAAGCCCGAAAGGGAACGACCTATGTCCCCATCTAGGGGGGTAAATCGGCCAGTGGGGCCCAGGCTGCGCCGCTGGGGATGGGGATCGGTTAAACTCAATATGTCTTCGAAGAAGAGGGCCACCCCCTCGCTCGACCTCGAAGAAGAAAAACACCATACATAAAAATGTTCGACGCTCCGCGCGGATTTCTTGGATTCTCGCGGAGCGCCAACAGTTTCTGTTTATGGTGTTTTTTATGTTTGCAATCTAAGAAGGCAACCCCACTCCCCCTACGCCCATTTGCTCACCGCCAAGCCAGGGTCAACTACGACCCGACCGATCCGATTCGATACATCGGTTTCGGCTGGGTCGCTCCGGTTCGATGCCGATGCTCGGACGATCCGATGCGGCCCGATGTTAGCATGCTTTTGTTTTGCATCCTGACGCGGCCGATCCGATTCGATGTCGGTTCCATGCTGTTGCAGCCCGCTCCGACGCACATGCTGATTCGATCAGATTCCCCGGTCCGATGTTGCCAGCTCCTGCCAAGCACATGTTGATCAGGGCGAGATGCCACACGCCGCGCGCCCAGACGCCGGACATCTGCTGTCGCCAACACGTGTCGACCGCGAGTGCAGCGGGTGGCGTGCGAAGGGAGACTTAAGAGTGCCCGTGGTTCGGTCGGATCGGTTGCGCCGCAGTCGGTTGCATTCGGCCGATTCGGTTCGGTTCTTCGTTTGTTGTGCCGTTGACGCTGCGCCCGTTTAGGATGCTTGCGGCTTGCCAGTTTCGGTCGATTTCGGTTCCGCTGCAGGTTCGGTCGGTCGTTCGTTGCGTTGTTGCCGTGGGCGGCCTTGGAGACAGTTGGGTTTGCCTGTGCTGCGAGCCTGCCAGGAGAAGTGGGATATGGTACGAAGGACATGCCGGCTCTTGTTTTGTTTCGATTCCTCTTCTTCGGGTCTCCGTCATGTTGGATGGTCGTGTCTTCTTCCCCTGCAGTTTGATGGTCGTTGTCAGTATCGAAGGCACATACGGCGAACCACCACCAGCCCCTGCCTTTTGGAAACGCCAATGCGGCCAAACGCTTGGCCAAAGCCTGGCCAAGCTATTGGACCGTGTGTTCCACCAGCTGTTGTGGAACCAATTGAGGAGCATTCGGAAGAGAAAGAGAATGGAGGAGGAGATTTAGTTGAAGCAGGACGAGACGGAGGAAAAGGAAGCAGAGGCATGTTGAGGCCGTTTTGGGGCTTCCTGGGGGTTTCTTGAAAACCCTTTGGGGGGTTTTGAGTGGCATCTTCGGGGCTTCTTGGGCGCCTCTGGGGGCCTCGAAGGGACCTCGCTTTCGGAGGTCGTCTTCGGTGCCTCTCTGGGCAGTCGTGGGTCCCTCTTTGTGCGCTTTTGGCCAGTCTTGGAGGTATGTGGGGCCGTCTTGGTTGCCTCTTGGCGTCTTGGGGCCCGCTTGGGACATCTTGCGGGCCGCTTGGGCATTCTTGGGCCGATCTTGGGGACCCGTGTCGCCATCGTGGGGCGTCGGGAGTTCGAAACGGCGAGAAAGCTAGCATCATTGAAACACCTCAGGGACATCAACGACTTGGGCCTTCTGGAGGTCCTCTTGAAGCCCTCTTGGGGCGTCTCGGCATCTTCTGGGGCCGTGTGGAGAGCATCTGCGGCCGTCTTGGGGCTCTCTTGGGCCGCCCTGGAGGCGTCTTGGGGGGGCCGTCTTGGAGACCATCCTGGGGCCATCCTGGCAGCCTTTGATGCCACGAGTTTCATCTTGTGCGGACGCCTCGGGCAGAACGCCCGCTTCGGCGGCGCGCCCTGTGCAGATCCTGGCCGTGCCGGATCCAGTGCCGGGATCGGCCAAGACCCCGATGGGGGCCTTTCGGAAGGGTTCCGCCACTGTGAGCTGCCAAGCGGGGCACCTTTCTGTGCAGTGGAGGCCCAGGCCAAGACACACCCCGCCTGCCTCCAGGGTGCCCTGGGGCTCTTGGGCTTCGACGGTTCTGCTGCGGGAGGCGTGACGCTCCCACACCAAAAAGCAAGCGACGCGCTGGTGTCTCAGGCTTGGGTTTCTTGTGGAAGGTCTCTTGTGGACTGGCCTCCACTGCAATCCTTCAAATGTCGGGTATAGCCGGGACCCCGGGTAAGGGGACCCAGTTCGTAGTAGGGCCCTGGAGCCCCTAAATTTGTCAGAATCATTAAACCAGGTCTGCCGTAGCTGGTCTCTTTTCGGGTGACGGCAGTTCCGGTTAGTGGAACGGGGCGGGGGGGCGTCCCTCATTGCACATCACTAAATCAGGCCCCTCTGAACCCAGTTCTGCCAACGCCCGGAAATGGGGGCGGCCCATCTTGCCGCAGTGCTTGGGTCGAGGACACGAGGCCTCTGAGAGGCCTCTTCGTGATCTCTTCGGAAGCGTCTGCGGAGCGCATCCGAGAGGCCACTCGGGAGCCTCTGGGGACCCTCCTGGGGGCCTCTCCTCTTCTTCCTTCTCCTCCTCCTCCCTCTCCTCCTCGGCGCCTCCGTGGCGCCTCTCGGGGGCCTGCCTGCGGTCTCGTGGTCACCTTGGGTCGGGCGGCTCCACATGTCAGTTCGGACTCCACTGGATGGGCCCTCCTTGGGGCCTCCTGGCCATCTTGCGGTCCCTCTTGCGTGCCGCGGGGGGGCCGTCATGAGCCATCTTGGGGCCCCCCCCCCTTTTTGTCTGCCTTGGACTCTTCGTGAGACCGAGAAGCAGAGACTGCGACGGCCACACAGCAAGCGCGTATGTGCTCAAGAGCTAGGGCTTCTGGGGCAGGCTCAGGGCCTCCAAGACGGCCAGAGGTGCTTCCAGGACGGCTCCAGCAGGGGCCCCTGGGATCACTCCGGTTCGACCCCGGCGCTGCGAGGGTTCGATGCGGCCGATCCGCCAGCATGGGTTGCGTTGTGAGTTCTGGCGCGGCCGATCGGGTCCGGTTCCGGCTCCGTACCGGTGCAGCCAGATTCGATGCATTGCGCCTTTGTGCTTCTTCTCCTGGCGCGTGCTCCCCCCGCTATATGACAGGGGTTGTAGATTATTCACATCACGTCTATCGCCAGTTGTCCCATTTGTTTTTGTTGTGTGCGAGTTGAGTCATGCATCTGATGTGTCGTATGGACGGTGGTTATTCGAGAGTGCCCTGTCGGAGACTGCAATGTCCTCTTATTCCATGTATCGTTGTTGGGTCCTTATTTTGAATCGGCAGCTCCGCTCGCGTCTCCTCTTTCGTCCCGCTCCGTCCTTTTCCTCGTCTCCCTGCCTAAGCTCTCTGTCCGTATGCCGATTCCCACGCGCCCTTCGCATGCTTCGCGCCACATTAGCCACCTATGACTCAAGCGGTGTCGCGTGACGCCACCACGCACGCGTCGGCACGCCCTTCCTTCACACGGATCGTGGTCCCTTGTCCCTTGGGAGTTCCATGCATGGCCCCACCGTGGGAACTCAATGGTGCCACCGTTACCATTTCGGCGCACTCCTCACGCGGATTGTGACCCATATTGGGCTCGTGGCGCACTGGGATTTCCACCCGTGGCGCCAGCGGGTGAACTCGCATGACGCCACCGCGCTCATACGCGGATCGTGGCGGACAGAGCGCTCCACCCGTGGCCCTAGCTGGGGGACTCGCATGGCGGCGCCCCGCCCAGTCCGGCGAGCGCCTCACGCGGATCGCGTCTTAAAGACTCCACCCATGGTCCCAGAGTGGATGCATTTGTTGGGCGCCATCGCGACCATTTCCGTGTACCGCCTGCTCATCAGCTCACCAGTCTAAAGCAAGAGCGTTGCCAAGCGGCGTGGCCAGCGGAAGCAGCGCCAGGCTCGCGCCCAGTGCGCTCCCAGTAGCGACCTGAGCGGGAGCGGGGTGTCTGGCCTTCCGTCCCATGGCGGATCAAGGGGCTGGTCCCCGCCAGACGTTGACCCTCGAGCCTTCCGCCAGTTCGTCGTTCGACTAGCGGGTGGCCTGGGGAGCCAGGGTTCCCCTGCCAGCTCCAGTTTCAGTCTTCTTCGCCAGCGGGTTTTTGGCAGGGCCAACCACGTGTGACGTGCAAGATCGGCTGGCGACTTCCGCTGCTCCTCCGTTGTGAGAACTGTCTGCGCCTCTTCGGCTGATGTGTCCTGAGGCGCGCCTCTTCGGCTGAGAACAAAATTTACTCTCGGCGCACGGCCCGTGTCGGCACGAACTTCGCGCGGGCCGTGCCCCTCAGGGAGCTCAGTGCGCTTCTGCGCGCCTACTCCGCACACAGCTGCACGGGAGAAGGCCCTTCGCCAGGCGAAGTGTCTTGGCAGCGCGAAGCATGGCGGGAGCGAGCTCACCTGGCAAAGCAGTGCTCGTGATTCTGCTGACGTGAGCGGCAGCTGTGCAGGCCCGACCGGTGCCAGTGCGTACACATCGTATCAACAGTTGCTCGAGGAGATCGTCGGTGATGTTCGCCGTGTCTGCCTTCAAGGACGCCGCTGCAGGCTCCAATTCTGGGCTGCTGTCTTACATGTGTGGTCGGTACGACGCATGCCACATGCTGTGTGTACAAGGTTTCGCAAGCGCAGCGGCCATGAAGCCGATACCGCAGTAGCTTTTGGCAGCGTGCGCAGCGTTCACTGTTTGCGTCTACTTGGGCCTTGTAGCAGCCCACTGGGAGGCGCGCTAGTCAAACGCTGTCTGAGTTTGAGTGTCCGTTACATAACATGTGGGGAGATCATCCCAAGACCTCCACGGACAGCACAATAGCTCCAGCAGACCCCCGAGAGGCTTCAAGGCGGCCCCAGAGGCCCCAAAGAGGGACCCTGAAGTATATCAGCGAGCTCCAGCGGCGCACACGGCCACAAGACTGCACAGGCTTCCGAACGAACAGCTGTACGCCATCAGTGCGTAGGCAGAGACGATTGCGCGCGAATTAGCGCAGCGGAGCAAATGCAGTGCAAGTTCGTGGATGGGGGAAGGAGAGAGGAGACGGAAGAGGAGAGGAGGGGAGATAGGAGTTGGACAACATTGCAAGTATCATATTTCCCAATTTGGGGCACAGGCAATGCAGTTCTCACTCAGTGTGAGTATTCTCTCTGCTAGCGGTACTTTCCGAGGCTTTGACAGATTCGAACACACACACACACACAAGAAGCCCCGAAATATTCGAAGAGGCCCAAAGAGGTTGGCAGAACCAATCGGCACACGGCGGTTAGCAGCAGTACGTTGAAGCAGGTTGCATTGCGCAGATCCGAGCAGTAGCGAGCAGTCGCAATCCGCAGCATGCACCAGTTCGGTAGCAACTCATGGGAATTATATATATATATATGTATGTATACATATTCCTTGTAGCTCCGTCGTTCGAGTGCATTCGCGTGTGCTAGCGCCTGGTAGTCGTTGAGACAGCGGTAATTATTCACGCTTCGCGTATCCCCACCAGCTCGCTCAGTAGCTAATTAGGCTGGCCCGTGACTCTCGGCGACAGCTTTACGCGTCTGCCCACGACCAAAAAAAGTATCCCCACCAGCCGATCCAGAAACGATTACCAGGTGACTTGGTTCATCAGGGACGCCTGCAAGCACGCGGTCGCACAGCCGTTTTGGAAGCGTCCAAACTGGGTGGGCAGTTCCCTGGGGCCAGAAAACAAGGACCACAAATAGCTTCGCGCAATGAAGTTCAGGGAAGAAATCAGTGCAGTATGCGCCATGGTGTTCCCTATGGAGAGCGTGTCTGGCCGAGGTTGCTGTATCTACGATCCGACGCCAGTGTTGCGCAGAGTGGAGATGTATTTCGATGGGCATCCTTGATCATAGCTCTTGCACTGGTTTGTAGATTCAACTCGCGTGCGTTTTGAAATTGGCAGCACCATTAAGTTGGGAGATCTCTTGTAGCGAAGGGTGTCGGTGGTGCTGTAGCTGATTGTATCGTTGGTGTTGTCGTTGTGGTTTGTGTTTCTGGTGCCGCTGCTGCTAGTGTTGATGTTGGTGCTACTGCTGGTGCAGCTGGTGCTAGTGATGCCCAGGACCATATTGGGGGTATGCGGAGGGGGAGGAGGAGGAGGAGGAGGAAGAGGAGGACAACCATGTAAGGGGGACGGGGAGGAGGAGGAGGAGGAGGAGGAGGAGGAGGAGGAGGAGGAGGAGGAGGAGCATGAGGAACGCGGCGCGAGGAGGATGAATAGGAGCAGGGAGGCAGCAGGAAAGAAGCAAGGAAGGACCGGACGATGACAAGGCGGACGAAAAGTCAGGCGGTGGGGATATGTCGTGGTGAGGGATTCTTCGAAAACTCGTAATGCCATTTGAGCGCCATCATGGGGCCCTCTGGGGCGCCATTTGGCGCCACGGGGGGGTATAGTTCCCGTCGCCCACTCGGAGGTTCAACAATGCTGTCTTGGGGCCGTACTGGCCCGCTCCTGGGGCGCTCTTGGGCGCTCCTCTTGGGTGCCTCTTGGGGCTACCTCAGTCCGTCTTAGGGCCATCTTGAGGCCTCAAGGGCCCATAAGAGGCGAACAAGCGAGAAGGCCCAAACACATTGATCCCCCTTAGATATTTAACGGATTTTGGCCTTTGGGGGGGGGTCCTTGGAGGGATCGGAGGACACTTGAAACCGTCTCGGGGCCGTCTTGAAACCTCTTGTACGCGTGTCGGAGGCTGTCTTGACCGATTTTGAGGTATCTTGGGCGATCTTGGAGGCCACCTTTGGGCTACCGAACGCCCTCTTGGAATTATCTTGGGCCAGACAGGACGCTCTTACACATCGCGGGGGGCGCGTCCAGACCCAGGAAGGGGTGGGGGGGTAAATCCCCCGAACAGGGAGAAGAAAAAGGTTGGAACTGGAAACGTGCTAGCCCACCTGCGCCCAAAGGGCGGGTGAGATTCAGAGTCGGTTTAGCGTCAACTTGTTAGCGCGCAACTAGCGGCATTTAGCGTCGATTCGCAAGAGCCAGCAAGATGGCACGGGATGCCCCCCATGGGTGGCCACGGTGACCCCATCAATTTCCATTGTGATAAACTGGGTGCGAGCCCCGAAAGCAAAACTTTAATTGCAAAACGCGATGTGCTTCGGAGGGGGGGCAACACAGGAGGTCAGAAACAACAACAATAACAACACCAATCAGTCTAACACTGGTCGCTCTTACTTGCCCGCGTGCCATTCAAAACGAGTTCCCCATACCCTCGATACCCGCCCGTTTTGTCGTCGATCACACCCCTTTGGGGGGATTATTTCTCTTTGCGGGGGGCGGCTGGCTTAGACAGGCGGGCAAGCCTGAACGGGCGGACAATTCTCCGTGGGCGTACATGTGCCCGCCAGTGGAATTGGTGCGTCGCAGATCGCAGCCCCCCAGGGACGGCAAGGTCTCGCTCAGGTCCCCGCGGTGCCTCAGCCCGCAAGACCCACCAGCAGCCCTTCAAGGTGGCGACACTGTCGCAGATCGCAGCCCCCCCTGGGGACGGCGAGGTCTCGCTCAGGTTCCCGCGGTGCCTCACTCCGCAGGACAGCAGCCCTCGAAAACGGCGACGGTGTCGCAGATCGCACCCCCCCCAGGGACGGCGAGGTCTCCAGTCTCGCTCAGGTCCCCGCGGCGCCCCAGTCCCCAGGACCCACCAGCAACCCTCGAAAGTGGTGACGGTGTCGCAGATCGCACCCCCCCCTCTGGGGACGGCGAGGTCTCGCTCAGGTTCCCCGCGGTGCCCCAGCCCGCAAGACCCACCAGCAGCCCTTCAAGGTGGCGACGTTGTCGCAGATCGCAGCCCCCCCTGGGGACGGCGAGGTCTCGCTCAGGTCCCCGCGGCGCCTCGCTCCGCAGCACCCACGAACAGCCCCCGAAAGTGGCAGCAACGTCGCAGATCGCAGCCCCCCAGGGACGGCGAGGTCTGGCTCAGGTTCCCGCAGTGCCTCACTCCGCTGGACCCAACAGCAGCCCTCGAAAGTGGCGACCGTGCCGCAAATTGCAGCCCCCAGGGACGGTGCGCGCACACACACACACACACACACACACACACACACACACACACACACACACACACACACACACACACACACACACACACACACACACACACACACACACACACACACACACACACACACACACACACACACACACACACACACACACGCACACACACGCACGCACGCACGCACGCACGCACGCACGCACGCACGCACGCACGCACGCACGCACGCACGCACGCACGCACGCACGCACGCACGCACGCACGCACGCACGCACGCACACACACACACACCACACACACACACGAGGTACGCGCAAGACAAGAGGAGACAAGAGGAAAGCGAGAGGCGAGAGGCGGGAGGAGTATTGGCGACCGCAGTGCTTTAATTCAGAACGAATACCCAACCAAGGAGGGTAGGGAAACGAGGGGGAAATGGGGGGGACTTCGAGCAGGGGAGGTTCAGTGGTGGGGAGGGGGGGTCGCTTCCAGAGTGCGAACGAGGGGAGAAGAGGGGCAAGCTCTCGAGGAGCGGACAAAATGGTAAGCGGGAGGGGTTTCTGGCAGGGGAGGTCCAACGAGAGGGGGGTAGCTAAGGGGCGACCCCCCTTTGCTCGGGCGCTGCGTGGGCGCAATCTCTATAAAAGGCATCATGAGCATGCATTGCGAACACCAACTGTCTACATACATCAGTGACGTAAACCAGTAATGTGCACGCACCGAGCACACTCTGTTTGGCAAAGACGATGCGTAATCAATTGTGTAGCGCATCGCACGCCATGACCACACACGACAAACTTCGAAACAATGCAAGATGATGTTGTCTGTCCGCGCGCCCAACGGTTGAGACGCCCAGGTCAAGGCATTCTTGGATTTGCATGCTTGAGAATTCTTGTTGAAGGCACGTGCGCGGCTCTACCTTCTGAGGATCCAGACCTCTCTTTCCTTTCATGTTGTTTTCAACAGGGTGCATATCTTCAGCGTACTGGTGCCTTTCCGATTCGGCCCAGCATCGCCAGGTTGGCGCAGGTTCCGCTGGGTGCTCGTGATTGCTTGGTCGGAGTTTATTGATACGGAACCTTGTCAGTCTCAGCATCAGCGGTTCCGTTCGATTCCCGTTCGCCTTTCATATGCAGTGTTAGTGTTTGTCGTTATTTTCTCAATTTTGTGTTGGCACGGCGAGGTTCACCGGCAATCTCATCTCGAGCTCCAGAGGCGCTTCCTGTACTACCTGAGGACAGCGGCATTCATCCGTGGCGACGGCGACGCTCGGTTTCTGCGGGGCCAAGCCGATGACAAGTGGCTCGGCATATCGTTGAATGATTATCCAGTCTGTGTCTGGGATTTCAGATCTCGACCGCTTGTCGAACAACAAAGCGCATATGTAGCATCGTTCGGCGTATCCTACAACTCCGATGCTGTCGGGAAAGATCTCAGATACGCAGGTCCGAACGTAAGGTAGAGTGGCAGAGGCAGACTCTGAGCCCGGCGTCTGTGGCAAAGACGAGGGCTCCCCGGCTTTGGTGGCTTCTGGTGGGCCGTCGTTTTTTGCACGTCGGCGCTGGGCGCAAAAGAGCGGATGTCGGCACCGAATTTCAGACGTAAGTTGGGCACGCCATGAGCTTGGCCAGTTGTTGGCCGTTCCCTTCTCGGGAGCCTGATGGTTTTTTTGCGGCCGTCTTGGATAGTCTCAGGGGGCCGCCTGTCGATGGACGGGCAAAAAGGCCCGCTTGTAGCCGTCTTAGGTTCTTTTGGTGTTGGGTTCGGATTGTATGGAGTTGTCTTGGGCCAGCGGGCTCTCTTGGGGCCGTCTTGGGTCTCAGTGGTTCTTGGAAACCTCATTGCAGGATTTGGCTGCAGTTTCCAAAGATCTTGATTTTGATATTGACAAGGTGAAAGCGATGGTTCGCCGAAACGAACAAACAAAAACGACTCAGGGATTGAAGCCCGAGCCAGAACCGAACCAACAACGGCGACGGACCTGGAAAAACAATTGGTCCCCGAATCCGGAAGGAAGTGGTAACACGACAATTGACAAACAATCTCTTTGTCGCTTCCAAGATACACTAAGCTTAGGATCCTCGGGAGAACGTATTAAACCCATTGGAGGCCGTCTTGTAACGGCCTTCTGTGGTTACCCTCGGCAGTTTTCCCCGTACCAGCACATCCTAGAGCAGATGCGAAGACATAGCGCATCAAGCATCGTCGGCGCCACGTCGAAGAAGGCACCAGAATTTACTGGGCAGTTGGCTGATAATGCTCGTATGTGTACGGATCTGCCGAACACTATTTGACTAGCCTGTAGCAGCTCATGCGCCGACGAGGTATAGCGGCCTTCGGTCAATCCTGCTTGCTGACTCGGGGGTGCTCGCGGAGACCCTGTGAGATTGTCAAACCAGACTCCGGTGGGGGGCCATCTTTGGTGGGTGGATATTAGCCGGCTCGAATTCCGAAAGTTTGTATGTGTTAGGACCGTCTAGGGGGCCTTTTGGGTTCGTCTTGGGGGCATGGGGCCCGTCTTGGGGCGATCTTCGGGGCTTCTTAGGCCGTTCGGACGCTCTGACGACGAGCCAGTGATATCGGCCTCTATGGCCACCCGCCGCAGCAACGTCTGCACCGCGCCTCCCTCTCTCTTGCGCCCCTCCCCCTGGGAGCCCGTTCGGGCCAACCGAAGGCCCCAGCGTGGCCCCCCCCATCTGGTTACGATGACAGGAACCTCGCTCCCTGCTGCGTGGCTCTTCCCCGCCTACGGTCGAGGGGGGCGCCCGCTAGGCAGGCCGAGGGTGTCACGAGAATGTCGGCGGCCCTGCATACATATCATATTGCAGGGATACATAGCCTGCCAGCCCAGCTCTGTTGAGGCCAGGACTGAACTCATCCCCTAAGCGCCTTCACCTTTCTACCTCGTCTCCATCCCCCTCCTCGTTCTCCTCCCCCTCTTCCTCCTCCTTGTCCCCCTCTTCCTGGATAGTGATGGCAGTATTGCCCTACAGACACCCCCTCCTCCAAATAGCTCTCGCAACAAACGATCAGAGAAGGCTTCATCTTCCTCATCCTCCTCCTCCTCCTCCTCTTCCTCCTCCTCCTACCCCTCCCCCTCCCCCTTCTGTCAACTTTGTTGAAGCACGAACGTGCACGATCGCTTCCCCAGCGGGACGGTGGTGGGGCTGCGCTGCCAGCGGACTCCCGGTGCCCCGCTGGTGCACCGTGCCGCCCCGAGGAGGGCGACGCCGAGGCCCGCAGACCGAAGTCGAGCTCGAGTTCTGGACGACGATCAGTGGAGAGGAGTCATGATGCCAAATGAAGTCCATATGCTTTAGACGTGTTCTATACATGTAAACAGCACATGTTTGAAACATTTCCAGGTCATTGTTCACACATGTTAACCACACTTTTAACTCAATCATAGGACTGTTATGGTGTCCACTGCCATGGCATCCACAAAGTTCGAGGCAGCGCTCCCCCTTTCTCTCGCCCACGCGTGCGCGCGCCACGCAGCCGCCAAACGCCTCCACGCCCCGAGCGCGCGCGGCCGCCGCGTGGGCCACTCGTGTTTCCCACCGCCACCAGAGGGAGGTAGAGGGAGGACGTTCATGTGATTGCGTGGACCTTGTGGGGGTGAGGTAGAATGAACGGAAGTTTGGGGCACGCGATCCCACTCCACGTCCTCCCCATCCTCCCCTCCTCGTCCTCTAATCCTCGTCCTGTCCATTGTTCTTCCACTGCTCTTCCCAGTCCTGCGGCTTCGTCCTGTAAGGCATCATTCCAGATTGGACCACGCTGCTACACGACAAATGTCCCATTGTGTCATGTTGTGCGTCGCATGTGTTGTGTCATGCACGCGAGTTCGTTGTTCATAGGAGATGCAGCCTTATCCTCATTAGGTGCCTCATTGTTCCCGCATGTGCCGCAGTGAATCTCACCCCGTCGAATCGCTAATGTGTAGATAAACGTAAAAGTGGCATGCCACATTGTCGGCCCGTAGACGCACGAGCTGGCATACAGGCAAGAGGCTGAAATACGGACCGCTTTGGGCTCAGGAGGGCCTCGGTGTTTCGCGCCGTTCCAAAGAGTTCTGTCGTGAAGCCTGTTTTTTGGCATGGGTCAGCCGTTGCCAGAAAAACAGCCCCTTCGTTCCTTATGATGCATTCCTTCTGGTAGCGCGGTGATTATAGGCATCCGTGTTCCACGTGGTGCTTGGCATCTCTTTTATTTTGGCGTATCTCGAACGCGGTGGTTGGTTCGCCTTGAGATTCTCTGGCCAGGCTTCGCTCTGGCGGCGCGCGCACGGGGGCCGCGCGAGGGAGGAGACCCCTCAGGAGGGAAAAACAGGTACAGGCACGACTCATCGGCGATTTCAGTGAAAACTATAGGACAAGAGATAGGGGGGATTCTAACAGCCCAAACTATTGGAACATCTTGGTATCTTTGGAATTGTGTCTATCCATCTGCCTGCGAAACGCCCCGCCACCGTGCCAGCCCAGTGTTCTGGGTAGCGACTGTTCGAGGTTCACGGGAGGCCATCACATGTGACACGTTGTCTCTCCAGGCTTGGGAGAGCCGTGATGAAGAACATGAGGATGACAGGTGATTTCGATGATGATGTTGATGATGATGATGATGTTGATGGTGTTGATAATGACGATGTTGATGATGATGGTTGATGGTGATTGTTCGAAGACGGTGGCGACGATGGTGATGATATGGTCACGGTGATTGTTATGATGATGTTGATGTTGATGATGGTGATGGCGATGGTGATGGTGATGGTGTGTGATGGTGGTAGTGATGTTGATGGTGATGCCGATGGTGATGTTGCTATTGATGATGTTGCTAATGTTGATAATGCATACAGTGGTGATATCGTTGAGCATGAGGCCGACGACGACGTCGACGATGACGATTGCGATGAAGTTGGCGTTGTTGATGGTTATGGTGCCATTGAGAATAACGATGATGCGTGTGATGATGTTGATGTTGATGATGAGGTCGACGAGGATGAGGACGAGCATGATGATTGTGGTGCTGGTGATTACGATGCTTATGATGGCGATGATGATGTTGCTGATGATGATGGTGATGCTGATGACGGTAGTGATAAAGACGACGTCGTCGACGACGACCATGATGCTGTTGATGATGTTGATGGTGATGATGTTGATGATGGTGATGTTGATGACAATGATGATGGTGATGTGGATGATGCTGTGGAGGAGAATGGGGACGAGGATGATGATACGACGACGATGATGACAGTGACGTCGTTGGTTGTAATGATGATGCTGACGATGATGATGCCAATTATGTTGATGACGAGGATGCTGACGGCGACGACGACGACGACTTCGACGAGCGCGACGACGGCGACGCTGATGTTGCTGTTGCTGATGGTGGTGATGGTGGTTCTGTAAGATGATGATGGTGATTATGATGCTGATGTTTGTGTTGATGTCGATGCTAATGTTGATGACGATGATGATGCTGATGATGATGATGATGGTGATGGTGATGGTGATGGTGATGATGATGATGATGATGATGATGATGATTCCTATTGTGGCCATGTTGGGTCTTCTTGGAGATATATTGTGCCTTCTTGCATCAATATTCGGACGCCTTGCCATCTTGAGCCGTCTCCGAGGCATCTTGGGCCATCTTTGTTTCCTTGGTTGCCTGCACGGGACGTCTTGGAATCTCGGGACGCAGACCCATAGGGTTTTAACGAGGGGCCGTTGCTTGGGAGGCCCTGGAGCGCTTGTGAGCAGCGGCTGGGAATGCGGGAAGTGCACGATCCTCGGGCGGGTGCGCGTGGGATGAGGAGGCTAGGAGGTAGCAGCCATGCGGGAAGTGCACAATCCTCGAGCGGGCGCGCATGGAATGAGGGTTGTTTGTCCACCAGAAACAATTTCGATCACCAAGGAAATACCGGAACTGAAGGGTTCTCCCATGTCGGGCTCCGGGAGGCGATACTCGCTCGACACTTCGCCAGAGCGCGTCGGAAATGTATTGTTTTGATGTTTTTCAGGGTGCTCGAATTCATTTATGGGATGCGGTCGTTAAGTATCAAGGGATGAAGGCCACCCAGACCTGACAAGATGGCCTTTACTAAATGGCTCTAGGCTCTAGGCGTTTACTAAACAGCCCTGCCCTGATCGAATCCTTCCCCGGGGGCGTTTACCAGACGACTCCGCGTGCCGGGGTGATTCTTATGGGAGTGGGTTCTCTGCCCTCCAACGTACGATGGGAACAACCTGAGACGAAGGTCGCCGTGTCAAGTCTGCGTCGGAGGCGACGATGGGGCCGAATAGCCCAGAGGGGGAGCAGTACATGTATCCAGGGGTGCCGATGATCGAGGTCTTCGAAGAGGCTCCCGGGCGAAAACGTGCCATGCCCGCCCCTGGGCTCTTCGCCCCTCTCGCCGCCGCCGACGGCATCCAGCGAAGGAGTGGGCGGTGCAGCATGCAGGGCCTCCACGACTGGCAGGCGGCGGTGGTCGCCAAGGCCGGGCGCCGGCACGCTCTCGCCCGGCCTCGGGCGCGCGGGCCCGTCGCGTGGGGGCGGGCTCGGTTCAGGAGGGAAGAAGATGGCACGGGCGCAGGGAGTCGTCGGTTCCCGGGAACACTTGCGAAAATGTGGGGAGCGCGGGGGGAACTTTCGTCCCCCAAAATTGAGAAACAAGAGGACTCCTGGGAGTTGTGTGTATTTCTTTGTGTGTGTGTCCCGGGGCCCCTTCGTCTGTTGCAGCGGCAGAGCTGCTCCAGTGTTCACCACCCACCAGACCACCCCAACCCAACCCGAGGGCCTCAATTTGCCCTCCACTTCCAGTAGGGGGGTCGGGGGACATTGTGAAAACACATGTGGAACCCGTACCCCCCCCCCTCAACCCGAAATTCGGGTCTTCGGGTTGGGTTGGGGCGGTCTGGTAGGCAGTCAAGGATTGCTGTCACGGGGGGGGCCTCTTGGCGATCGCCCCTGCTTTCTCCCATCCTCTTCCTCCTCGTACTTCCCAGCCCCATTCTGATCCTATTCTCCAGGCCTCCTTGTCAAAGAAGCAGAACGCACCGCATAAGCGTACGTCTTCGGAGGTCCGTGGGGATTCCTTGGATCCGCGTTGAGCCCCCTGGTGGCGCCTCCAGCGCGGCCCCTGGCGCGCTCCCCTTTCAAGTGTTCCCTCCCTCCACTTGTGCAAGCGCTAACCATTCAACGCGGGTTCTGAGGTTTCGGCACGCGGCGGCCAGGACATCATGAAACGTCTGCCCACGACGTGGCTGAGAAGGCCGGACTCCTACCAGCCGGCACTGCCGTGGTGCACGCGGGGGCTGCTTTTGCGACCTCCCTCGGCGCACCTGGCGAGTTCAAGTCGAATCTGGCACTCGTATCACAATTGCAGTGCGCAATGCACCGTCGGAGGCCGCATCTCAAAGAGAAACCTCTGGCCTCACATTCCAGAATCGATTTTCTATCCTGGACAATGGCACCCCTCCTTTTGCCCCTGCCCTTCGCCCCAAAAGTTATTTTCGAAACTTCCTTTGCGTACTTGGATCTGGGGCCGTGGTCATGGCCAACCGTGAGGCCCATCTCGCGCATGAGGCTGAAGGCGTGGAAGTTGCTCACATCTCCAGGGATTGCGGCACTCGGTTGTGTCCTTCCCTTGCTCCCCTCACATCCTTTCTTCCTGCCTCCTGAGCTCCTTCCTTTCCGACTTCACACCCTCTTCCCCTCCGGGTTCCAAAACCTGCCTTCATGTTCCAGGCATGGTGACCATACTGGCCGTGGACGAGAGGCGCCAAGGAGGCCCGCCGTTGTCTCGATGGGCTTCCTCCCAGAGAGATCCCAAGCCAGAGCAGTTGGGGTAGCACAGATGGGGGGGCTGGAGTAGGTGCAACAGTATTTGCAGTAGTTTCTGCGTGTAGGCAATCGCTTGCGGTCTGGGCGCAATAACCAGTAGCGCTTGTGTGTCATCGTGTGCTTGTTCCAACGCAACAGAGTACGCCCTCTGCAGTCGCGCTCGTGCCCCCCAGCAAGAGCTCGCGCAATAGTTCGCGCAAGCGAACCATCGCACCTCCCACCTTCGGGCGGGGCCAGGGCGAGGATAAATGCGTCTGGGAGGGTTCCGGAAGGCTCAGAGCGTTCCGTGACGCCCTGAGAAGGCCGCGACACCCGAGACATCCTCCAGATCCGCTGTATCTCAGAGGTCCTCGATCTCTACTTCTATCCTCACCCGTTTCCATCCTCGTCCTGGCCTTGTCTTACCCCCCCCCCCATGGGCATTGCCCCCATCGCTCTAGCCTGAACCCTCCCGGAGAGCTACCGGGGCCCGCGCGCGCGGAGGCCACCGCGCGGCCCCACGGCCGCCGCTCGCTGGCGCGCTCGAACAACTCGCAGTGCTCCGCGGACACGGCGGCCCGCTCCGAGCGCTCCGAGCGCTCGACGGTGGGCCCCTGCGGCCGCCGGCTCGACAGGCCCGCCGCCGTGGACGAAAACGACGACGATCGGGGAACAAGCAATGACATGACCACAAACTTTCGAAGGTCCGCGCGGGTTCCTCGGATCGGCGCTGGGTGCCCCCCCCCCCCTGGCGCGCGAGGGGGCGCCGCCAGGGTCGGGCCGGACGAAAGGGGGGGATTGGGATTGGGAAAGGGGAGGTTGCGGAATCTGCTGCGTGCAGCGGGTTTCGACCCCACCGAGGGGCCCATTCCTCGATACATGGCCGCCTCCGGCGCCCAGAGGCGCCGGGAAAATCAGCCACGCGAGCGGATTCTCGCACCCCCTCTTTGCTATCCCCCCCTCTCGCCCGGCCCGGCCCGACAGGTGGGCCCCGGCGACGATCCGAGGCACCCGCGCGGACCTCCGAGCGGCGGCGGCGACGTTCGGAGGAGAGCCACTCGAGGCAACGGCGGCCCTCCCTGGGCGCGTTTGTCGTCTCTGGGCGGCCTCCCGGGGGCTTTTCGTCGCCACGGCTGGACGCACCCCGTGAAGACAGGTCGGGACGGACCCCCGGAGGGACCCGAGGGGTCCGGGCGGGAAGGACGCCGTGGTCTGAACTCGGGGGCGGAAAAGAGGGGGGTGATGACTAGGGGGGGGTGGATATCATGGCGGGGGCCATGATATTTCCCCAGATATCATGGCGCCTCCTCTTATTTCATTACGTCCCAGGCCCCCCCGCTGGGCCGCGCACATGCCGCCGGTCATGATTTGCACCCCCCCCTCTTGGACACCCCCCTCTTGGCCGCTCCCGATGAACTGGCCCTGGCGACGGCGACGAAGATGACGACGGCGTCGATCGGACATGTCCAGACGCCTCTGCCTTTCGTTCGGGGCCCGAGTCGATATCCAGCAGGGAAAAATAGACGCAGACACAAAGAAGCGTCGATCCCCAGGAAAACGTTGGGAACTATGGGAAGTGGAGGAGAAGACGAAACTCCAGAAAATACTGGAGAATATTGGGAATCCTTGGATTTGTGGCTACTTGTTTGTGCCTTCGCCCTTTAGAAGACATGGGAGGTAGCTCGAAAATAATGATGACGACCACCGACGGCGGTTCCTGTGCATCTTGAAGGGCTCGCTGCTGGCGTCGCTGAGGACGTTGTCCGCTTGAGACAAAAATCCGCCTGTCCAGCAACGGCCGCTGTCGGTTTTGGCCAACATTCGCTTTAGGGCATCGGCCCCATCTTTTCCGTACCCGTTTCCTACGTCAGAATTTGCCCCCATGTCCAGACAAATCAGAGCACGATGTGATTCAAAGTTTTGTCTTCTGGGGCCTCACCGGACCTTCATTTGGGCAGTCAGGCAAAATGCCCAGGATGAAAGTGGGGCCGCGGGGAGGGATCCAGGGCAGTACTCCAATAGTTGCCGGTCGGCCACGTGAGAGGAGGAGGAGGTCAGAAGCCTTGCGCCAGACGGCGCGCGAGGAGGGCGACCCAAGACGATTGTGCCTGTGAAGGGGCCCTTCGGCACTCTATCCACATCAGGCTCTGCAAAGCATGTCTGGTTCAAATGTGACAGAGCGGAGGAGGAGGCGGAGGGGAAAAGGGGGGGGGCATTACGTCAATCGTGCCATGATCTGACGGCTGCCTCCCACGCTGCAGCTGCACTGGCCTCCAGCCAGAAGAAGTCAGCCAGGCGGGCGTTGGAGCCAGCTATTTCCATGCAATTATTCATCACCATGTTGCCCCACATCTGTCGGGGACGTCCTCGCTTGCGAGTCCCTGTCGGCATTCGGAGCTCGATGCCACCTGGCTGGAGGACGGAGCTGTGCACCGGGTCGTTGCCAGGGCGCCTCGCGAGGTTTCCAAAAAATACCATCTGTTGTTTCGCAATGGCTTCGCTCAGTGGCCTTTCCCCGGCGATGCTCAAGACAGCGCTGTTCGACACGCGGCTATAATATGAGGGTTGTATTCGGAATATCTCCCTCAAGCACCTAGCCTGGAAACCGTCAAGTCTTTTGCGCTCTGACTGATTTAAACAAGCAGCAAACATACAATAGCAAAGTTTTGAGACCAAACACGCCTTACAAATCTTCACTTTCCCATGCCTAGACAGAGCTGCGTGAGACCAAATCGAATCCAAGACCTTAAAATCTTAGTTCGGAACCGCAGCGGCCGTCGGACGAAAGCTTGGTCCCGAGGTACACCAGCGCCTCCTTCTCCCGCACGGTCTCACCGACGCTGTTCACCACGTGTGCGTTGGAGCGAACCCTCATCATCTCGGCTTTGCTCCAGTTCAAGCTCAGCCCGTACTGTTTGCCGCACTCCTCCACGTACGACATCAGCTCCTGCACGACGTCTGGATTCGCATCTAGGAATAGCGTGTCGTCTGGTGTAGACCAACCACCGCACGAAGTGCGCAGCGGGGGCGCCCAGGAGTCTGTCGAGCAGCTTCGCGCGCGCGTCCTGCAACAACGACGTCATAACGATGGTGAACAAGAACGAGGACAACGGGCACCCCTGGCAGATGCCAAAGCTTTGCCGCCGCTCCTCCGGATCTGCGCCGAAGTCAGACACAACGAACTTTCTGTCGTTGTAAATCGCAGCCGCCATGTCGACGAACTTTGCTGGGCAGCCAGATCGCCGAAGTGACGTCGCCATCGCTTCCGGGGACACGGAATAGGAAGCTTTGACCCAGTCCAGCGCCAGCATAAGGACAGTCCCGTTTTTTGTGGCCCACGCGTCCTCGAGCGCTCGTCTGGCCACGGAGATGGCGTCCGAGGTGCCGCGCTGTGACCTGAAGTCAAATTGTGTCGGCCATAGAGGCCATACCTTGTCCTCCGCCCCGGTGCCCTTCAGCCTCTTCAGCATGATCGTTGCGAACACCTTATACCCGATTGGCAGCAAGCTGATCGTTCGGTAATTGTCGCATGCCGCAGGGTCTCCCTTCTAGTAGATCATGCGCACGCGTGATTTATGCCAAGCGTCTGGCACTGTCGTCTGCGACCATACCATATTGCAAAATCGAGTGACCCATGCTAGAGCTGGCTGACCATCGTCGGCGGACGCTTTCCAGAATTCTGGCGGCGAGCCGTCCAAACCTCCCGCTCGTTGGTTCCTCAGCCTGCGCGCCGCCCGCATCACCTCCTCGTCACTGATGGTGCCCAAGTTGACCGGAAGACCAGTGTGGACCACAGGGCCGTCCGGCAGCGCAGTCGCCGGCCGTACCGCCCTTTGCAGGGTCTCCAGGTGCTGCGCGAGAGTGTCTGCTCTGCGGCCACTGTCTACCAACTCGCCGTCGTTAGTTCGAAGTCTCCCTTGAGCTCGCTGGGGTCCTCTACGCATTCTCCGGATCTGAGCCCAATCGCCTTCCTTGGTGACATTCTCAAGCCAATTCGCGTTGTCTCTGGCGGCAGAAATCCGGATGCGTTTCGCAATATTTTGTTCCCGAACAGCGTCGCCATCTCGTATGGCACTGTGTCTCATCGCTACGAGCTCCAGCGTGCTGCTGCTGATCCACGGCTTTCGCGACCGAAGCGGTTCCGATGGCAGTGTTTTCTCTTCGGCATGGTGAAAACCATCGAGCAGTCAACACCTAGCGAGGTTCACGTTGGAATTGTCGGGAGATGCCTCTTCAATTGTCGGGAGAGAAGGAGGGAGGAGGAGGAGGAAAAGAGAAAGGGGCAAGGATCCAAGAAGAACATTTGCGTAATCATGAACTTTTGGAGGTCCGCGAGGATTTCTTGGATCGGCGTTGGGCCCCCCCGATAGCGCTTCTGGCGCCGCCCCTGGCGCGCTCCGCTCCACAGGGAAGGAGGCTCCAGCGCCGATCCGAGGAATCCGCGCCGACCTCCGAAAGTTCATGTTCAGGCGATTTCTTCTTCTCAGGGAGCAGGCCTTCTCAGAAGGCGGCGGAGCTTCTTACAAGTCTTACAAGCCCTCGCGCCTTCTGAGAAGGTTGCTATGCTTCGGGGAAGGCTTCGAAAACTTCTCAGCAGGCCCGAGGCCTTCCAAGCCTTCTGAGAAGGCCCTCGCCCGTCTCACTTCCCCCCCTGGGCTCGCAGCCGAGAAGAGGAGGACGAGGACGTCGAGCCCGAGGATAGGGCCCTTGGGGCCGAGAGGGGGGCGGGGCTGCAGGGCTCTAGCTCGGCCCAGGTGCCCGCGCTGGCTCCCTCTGTCAGAGCAGGTGAAGCCCTCCGGCCCCCACAGTCTCCTCCGCTGTCTTGGGCGTCTACCAATCCTCCTCCTTCACTCTCTCCTTTCTCTCCTCTCCTCCTTCCTCCCCCGATTGTTTTGCCACACTGTGAGGTTGATTCGTGTCGCCCCACTCTGAGCTCCAGGCTTCCGCGTGCAGCTCTCTGACGACTGTTGAGGGGATCGGCACCGATTGTTTTAACCTGCGTTGCCGTCGGCCGATACCATCATCGGAAAGAGCCCCTGGCGTCTGTCGAGCAGTCCTGCCCTGCTCGGTTCCTTCCTGTCACGTGTTTGACCATGGACCCCGAAGACCCGCCAGAAGGCCGCCAAGGATCGTCAGAAGTGCGCCGAGGACCGCCAGAAGCCCGCCGAAGACCTCCGGAGACCGATCGAGGCTGGTGGGTATCAAGGGGGTCCACGGTCGATGGCTTCACCTCGCATGAGGACGTGCTACATAGTTTCGAGGGTGGTTCTTCGGCCCTCTACTCTCGACATCAGGGGACAGGAAGCCCCAGGCTGCCCAGGGTCCTCCCGAGGTGCACCCGAGCCACGGCCAGATGGCTCTGGTTTTAGCGATGCACTGCTGCCCCGTGCATGCCAGCGTGCCCGCGCTCGTGCTCTTCCCTTCCTGGCGTCTGCCACAGTTACCACCTCGGCAGCAGGCCGCTCGCTCACTCGCTCGTTCACCACGCGCGCACGGCGGCGCCACGCCCCCACCAGGGCGCACCGTGGCGCCGGCCTTGATGCCAGAGCCGGAGGAACGGCAGGCCATGCCCCTCGGGCCAGCGCCAACGGGGGGCGACCCACACGGGGGCTGAAGAAGAGGGGCCCCACGGGAGCCCTTTGGGCCCTCGTCCTCACCCCCCAAAGGGGTCACCCCCCGTTGTAGCGCCCGCCCGAGACCCGGCGACCACACAGGGCGCGGTCACGCCGGGGCGAGGCACGCGACCCGCGCCGCCGGGGCTCGGGGGGCGCCACGTGGCCCTCGTCGGGCCCTCCTCGGGGCGCGGCGGAGAACGCCGTCGAGGCCCTCGCCCGCCCTCCGAGGTGCGGCCATCGATCACCAGACGCCAGCGCACCCTGGTGTTTGGCGGCGCGCAAAACATGGGGCAGGGGGAGGGGGGAAGGCTTCTCAGAGGCAGGGGTGCTTCTGGGAATCCTTCCTCCCTCCCCTGCCCCCCTGTGCGCGCCGCCAAAATGTATCCTAAAGACGGAATTGCGAGGAGACACGAGGTTCCCATGATTGGCTACCAAGTCAGTCTTGATGTTTACAACTCGCTGCATGTCGGGGAGCTTTCTCAACGGCAAGAGCCACATCACCTTCGGACGCCCGTCCGAGGGCGGCTGCCGCTGGGTGGCGCCGCAGCCCCACCTCTGGGGGCGCCCTCGGCGCCGCCTCTGGCGCGCTTCGCGCGTCGCGCTGACAGGCACGAGCGCCTTTTGCAGGACGAGAATGAAATAGGCCCCGGCTGCGTCCCAGGATTTCCAAGGTACCTATAGCGGCCCTCGTCTCTTGAGCCCGCGTCAGACAGTCGGGGTTTTCGGAGGTCCTGGAAACCTTGTTAATCTTGGAACGTATGATTCTAATTCGGCGATCACAGGACCACAGGATCACACAATGATGTTGCCATCTCCATGTTTTAACAGTGCGCATGGTGCGCTGACGATTGTGCACGACAAGTGGTGGAGTGGGGGAGGTGACGGAATTTGCTGTGAGCAGCTTGTCTCCCCGCCGCCGGGCGCCTTACTCGATGCATCGGCGCCTCCCGTCGCAAGAAGGCGCCCGGAGACCCAGCGCCGCGCAGCTGAAGTTGGCTGACATCCCGCCGTCCGACCCGGGCTGGTGGGCCCAGGGGGAAAAGCGGGTCCAAGACCCTGGCGTTTCGCAAGAACCAGCTATTTGTCCCGAGTCGTTGCGGGCGGCCCCGTCGGGGCCCGCGGATGTTCCTAGACGGGCCCGGTATTGAGATTCATTCGTGTTCCCTTGGTCTCTGCAAGCGTCTATCTGCCGTCCTCCCTCTGTATGTCATCCTTTTTTTCGGCCGTGCTTATTCCACTGGATGCCTTCTACCCCAGGGCCAGTAGTAGACAGACATCCAGCAAACTGCTACAGCAACAGATACGGCACGTTGTTGTTGTGTCGGCCTCAGCGTTGGTTTCTCTGACACCGCGGGGATCGTTCAACATTAAACAACCAGCCGTTCCTGAATCTTCAGATCGTTCCACGTCGACCGATGCTGGGTCGCCAGCTGCGTTCAACGTTGAACGCCATCAGCGGGCCTCGCCGCCTGTCGACACGACGTGAACCTGCCGTTGCAAGGGCTATCTCCCATTCAACGGGCAGGTGGCTCCGTGTTTCGCTGAGGTGCCGTCCAATACTCCTCTCAGAAAGGAAACGTAGACACAGGCAAATATAGACGTCGATTCCCGGCAAAAGATGGGAAACTATGGGACAAGGGAGGGGAAGACAAAATTCCATAAGATATTGACACTTGGGGGATCCTGCAATTGGTGGTCTCCCTGGGCGCCTTTCAAATCGTCCTCACCCGTCTGGGCGGCGCATCCTCCTGCCTCCTGGCCGCCGCCCCGCCCGGCCCGAGGCCGCTGCCGCGGCGCGGGACGGGCCCCTGAGGGGAGCCTCGTTGCCGAGTGATCCTGCAGGGCCGATGGCCTATCGAGTGGTTGGAGCCGCCTGGGGGTCTCGAAAACAAAAACGCCATACACAAACTTTTGGCAATCCGCGCGAATTTCTTGGATCCGCGCTCGGGCCCCCTGGCGGCGCCTCCGGCGCCGCCCCTGGCGCGCTCCGCGCGCCAGGGAGGGGGGTCCAGCGCAAATCCAAGAAAGCCGCGCGGAGCGCCAAGAGTATGCGTTTACGCCGTTTTCTCCTTTTGTAGGGTCCGAGGTAACCCAGCATTGGATCAAGCGAGCAGCAAGGGGGGACGAGGTTCCAGGTTCTGGATCCAGGCCCCAGGACAGGGGACAATCGATCCCGGATGAAAAACTGCACCGGATGAACCTTGGGAGGGGTCCAGGGACAGATTTTTTGAGTGGCCCCCTCCTGACTGATTCTTGGGGTCCGAACTAGTGCAGACCCCCCAGTTGCCTCCAACCGGGTTGCACGATTCCAAGTGATCCTGCAGGTCCGATGACCTAGTTTGTGTGCTCCTTCATGGGGGCCTCAGAGGGTCCCAGAATTCCTGGCGGTTGGGGGGATTTAGATTGGATTTTCGTCGGATTTGGTCGACATCTAGACGAAATCTGGACGAAGTCTGGACGAAGGGGTGAAAAGGGGTGGTCGAACTCTGGACGAAACCTGGTCGAAATCACGTTTATGATATGGCCGCGGAGGTTCACAGAGGCCCTCGTGAAGGCTCACCCAGGCGATGCTGAGTGATCCTGCAGGTCCGACGACCTACTTGGTTGCATTCGGTGGCAAATCATGGGAGCCTTGTATACCCTCGTAGTTCCGTCTTTAGAAAGCGTTAGCGTCGTCTAGCTTCTGGTAGGCGACAATATAACGCCGATGTGGCGTCAATCAGCGTCGATCCGCAAAAGTCAGCAAGATGGTATGGGAGGCTCCGATAAGTTGCCACCGACCTGGGTGGCGCGAGTTTCCTGTCTCCTCGAGTTTCTACACAGCCTTGCGCAGCACCTGCGTGGGCCTGCGGCGGCGTTGTGTTTTTCCGCGAGCGCGCCAGTGTACGGCAGGTTCGTGCCGTGTCGACGCGGCGGCGACCCCGGCGCCTGCGTTCGAGGTTGAACGCCGCTGGTGGCCCGGAATCGGCCGTTCTCGAGCGATCAGCGCAGCTGGGGAGTCGTGATCGTCAAGGACCGCCACGCGGGCGCAAAGTTTTTCGCGAGTATTCGTCGTCCTCCTCCTCCTCGTCCTTCTCTTGCCCCCGGGGGGGGTGGCGGCGCGAGAGCGCGAAGTTCTTCGCGCTTCGCGAAGCGCGAAATGCGAACTGAGCTGCTCTTGGACCGTGCAAGGCTGAACGGTCAGCACGGTGTCGGGACCCGGCGCCAGAGTCGTCAAGAGACGAGCCTCCCGCAGTTTGGCCCCCGAGCACTCCTCAGCTTTGCTTACTGTCTCGGGCGGGGAGCCGACAGACGGCGCTCCGTGACAGGCCGGCTTGTCGGATGTGCACCCATCGGGAGCTCTCGCACGCGCTCCGACCGCGCGCGGGGGGCGAAGAGTTGGGTGGAGCAGCAGCAGGAGCAGGGGGTGAGCGCGCCGCGGGGGGGAGAGGGTGAGCGTGCTTCCGGCGCTCCCGAGGCCTCGGGCTTGGCGCCCCCCCACCCTCCTCCCGTGCGTTTCCTGCTCCTCCGCTGCTGAAGACGAGGGGGACCAGCCTTCTGATGTGGCCGCCCCTGGTAAGGCCTCATGTGTGAAGAAAGTGCCAGGTAGGTCAAACTGATGTTTAGAATAGCTTCGTGCAGATCGTTAAACATAGGTGCGCCCAACCCGCCCGCTCGCCCTTCAAGAAGGCGAGGGGTCCACGCGCGAGACAAATAATTGTACAGAGTAAGTCGTTTAGCCACCTGCAGTATTTCGTTATATTTGGCCTCGTTTTAAACGTTGTCCCGATGCGTCTACTCCTTCGTCCCATAGCAATATGCGCGCTCTTCGGTGATTCCATTCAGGTCAGCTCGTTTTACCCCCCCCCCCCCCGCAAATCTTACTTCACCACTTTATTATCCCCTGCTGTCCCCCGCAAGAAACCGCCGGTGTCCGACGTTGGTTTGGGAGGAGGGGGGAGGAGGAGTACGAGTGCGATTTTGGCAGTATGACAGAGAGTCGGATAGGCGACGCCCGCGCAGGTCGGTCGTTGCGCGCAGGCCACATGTGCAAACAAGTTATGGCCTTGATTGCTTGTGTTTGTTCTTTTGTCCCAGGGCCTGTTAAAGCCTGACCTGGGCAAAGTGAAATATGATTCGACAGTGCGGCGCTATATGTATTTCGAGCGCCGCCACATGCATTTCTGACAACTGTAGCGCGCAGTGCTTCGAATTCGCAAAACGCAATTCATGTGGCCATCTTTACACGTCCCCCCATGTATAATGAGTCGTGCCCCAGCTTCGAAAGTAGGACATCCCACGCACCCCATTATTGAGAGGGCACGCGCGACGCAAAACCTTCAAACGCCAATGCAAAATTGAGTTTCGCATAAAGACATTCCTTACAATTCCGCGCCTGGCCCAGAGCTTACTATGTCTGCGACTCCCGTTGCTGCATCACGATGCTGCGCCTCGCCAGACGACGTTCCAGGTCAACTAACGTGGGCTAAGCTGCAATGTTGCGCCTTGCCGAGAGACCCCCAGCACAGTGCGGTCGACGCCCCAAAAATGCCCCTCCCAGATCTCCCAATAATCATTTGCCGCGTCCGTGCATTTTCGCGGAACGGTGACCCACCCCACGCCCCCTTTGCTCCCCCCTGTACACCCTCCCGTCCTTAGCCATTTGGGCTCGAGAGGTTCTGGCCCATCTCCTTTCTGAACGTGATGACCCTCCGTATTCGTTCAGATATGTCCATCGTTTGCATCATGTGGGCTGCCGCGGCAGCGACAGTCGCAGTGGAGCCTGAACCGCCCGAGGTGGACCCATGGGGTTCGGTGGCGGCCATAGACGCAGCCAGCTTGGCCCCAGATGCACCAGCCGCCGCCACCGAGCCGAACATGTTGCTGCACGCGCTTGAAGACTCTCTGGCACCCCAGCCGCCACAGAAAAGAATGATAACACGTCGTCCAGCGTCGTGGGTGCGTTCATTTCAGATGAATTTGATTCGCAATCAGTGAATCTGGACTCGCCACCGATGCCAGCGGAGCCTGATTCTCATGCGCCCGCGGCACAGCTGGTGACCAGACACACGGGTGTGATCGTGAGGGAATGGAATAAGAACATGCCAGTTTCTGCTGTATCCCTTGCGCCGCCCAGCACATTATCATTTCACGTTGAGTCGTGGGTCGCCATGGGGATGCCACCTGGTGCGGTGCAGCGTCCTATCATCCTGGATGTGGCTCGATATTGGTGCATTTCCTCTGGGCTCGTGCTGAACTGGTCTCAGATCGCCAGGCAGACAGGCCACGACCGCCAGGTCCTGCAGAAAGCGCTTCACCGCTTTGCTGAGGCGTATTTCCTGTGCCAGGTTCAGTTTCGGAAGCAGCTCGAGGGCGCCCTGGTGGAGTCTTTCGGCAGAGAACGGTGCTTGTTGTACGCCGATACGCAACGCTACGACGAGACTCCCATGAAGACGACGCTGAGGGGAGATGCGGCTGTAGGATCCGCAAGTGATGTCCATATCCACGCTCTGGCCCCCCTGCCGTTTGGCAGGGCACTTCAGCTCATGCGCGCCCTCGCTGCTCAAGAACGAAGTGCTGCGATGGTCACGAAGTTCACTCATATTAACCAGGCAGTGTGGTTGCTCGTCAATGTTGGCGATGTCCCAGTTCGGCTTTGTCGGAACACGGTGTGCCCCCTTTTCAGCCGATGGAGTCGACGGCTGCGCCAGTGTGCAAGAAACCGGTGCTACGGAGTTGCGCGGTCCCCACTTACAACGACGGCTTCAAACAACGGACGCGCCTCTGCTGCTCTGACTCCGGGAAGCCCAACATCGCCGTGAAGAACAGCATCGCATCTGACCGACATGGATGGGAGTCCCTGCGCTCGTTCTCCGAAGTTCACGCGGCAGCAGGTATCCACAGCAAGACGTTTGAGAGTCTCATGCCACGCACGATTTCGTAGGTGATTCACCCGTCTCTCTCCTTGCAGCTCAGCGGTTATTCGAATCATTTTAGGAAGTGCCTGAGGCACGTGATCAAGTGCAGGATCAAGCTCGTCCCCGAGGGGCGGCCAGATGACGCTGTTCAGTACAAGAGATCTGTCATCAATATGTTTTTTTTCGAGGCTGGCCCTGACAGTGAGGTGGAGAAAGTAGTTGTCGATTGTCTTCCACGTGGTGACTGGAGGAACCGAGATTAAGCCGAGGCATGCGTGCCAACGTGCTTGTGACCGACATCGACATAGCTGCAGTGGCAACCGTCATCGAGAACGGTCTCAGCGTCGCCCCGGCGAGCGCAAAGCCTAGCGCGTGGCTGAGACATCGGTGGACGGGCTCAGAGATTGCAGTTGACTTTTGGGGGCGCCTCGAAGCAATTCACGGGCTGGCGTCTGCGACGTATCCTTTGTGTTCTTGAACTCCCGGCAAAGAATTACCTCCCGCGGGCCCCATTGGCGGGGCGGTGGGCGCCGATTGTGCCACTGGTGTTTTGGAAGACGGCGGGGTCGATGATGTCGCGCGCGTCCATCACGGGCCAGGGGTGGAGACATCCGCCGACGCTGCTCCAGCTGATGGACATGAGGTCGTCGACAACACTGGCCGCGCTGACGCGGAGCCGAGCTTCGCAGAGAAGAACGCAAAGGACAGGAAGTTGACGCTCGAATGGTTGTCGAGAGAACCCCTGCCTGCCTGACCTGATGTTGTCGAGGTGCGCGCTCAATCCCATCGCGCGCGTGCTCCACGATCAGCTGGACATGGCTAGCTTGCGCTGGGAGCTCAGCCTGAGGGCGGCCGCAGGCACGCGTCGCTGGCGACGTCGGCGGGACGCAACGGGACACCCGTGCGTTGCCGCAGGTACAGGAGCTCGATCTCGGAGGAAGACCAGCCATGTCAACGGCGGCCTGCCTTCACGTTTCGAGATCTTTTCGGGCCTCCTTGGGACTTCCCGTGGCCATGGCTGGACCCCCTTTGAAACTCAGGCCAGGGTGCACCCCGGGAGGGGTTCTGGTGGGTGAACATGAGTGAGTTGCAGCGGACTTGGGAGCAGCAGGAGGAGGAGGAGTAATCCGCAGTTCCCGTCTGAACCCGCTCGGCCGCCGTATGGCATGGGCTCGATCTTGAGTTTGCTCGGCGGCCGAATTGGCTCAGACCCAAGGTGGGTTTAGAAAGGAAGCCGGGGGCGGGTCAGATCATCAGCGCGTCCACAGCCAGAATCGGCTGCAGAGGACACCCGGGAGGATTCAAGCCCTTTCGGAGGGCATCCCGTGCCCCAGACACGCACATGGCATGGGACGCGGCAGGGCAGGTAACAACGGGCACCCGCGATAATGCAGTGTCGACATGTTGTGGCCGGGCGCGGGTGTGCACCATTTCCCTCCAGGAAAACGTAGCCGGAACTCGGGTTTCCCGATGTTTTTGAAGAGCAGGTCCTCGATTTTGACGGTCCAGTTTCCGTGGGATGCCTGCAGTGGGAGCTCGCGTCAAATTTCAGACTGCGTCTCGTCATTTTCATGATGGCCCCGTCAGGCCATCCCGAGACCCACGAACCCGAGTCTTGCGTCGACCCGAATGTAGAGTCGACATGTTGTGATCAGACGCGGCCGTGCACCTTGTCTACCTTTTTTTTTTTTTGTTTTCTCTCTCTCTCTCTCTCTTTCTCTCTCTCTCTCCTGCGGGATTCCCCCTGGCCGCCAGGGGGCGCTGTGCGCCGCGTGTTTTCGCCTCGCTCGGTGAGGAGCAGGAACGTCGGGCGGAAACGGCAGTTCGTTCCGCCCGCTGTCGTCTTGGCGGCCCTTCTAAGAAGGTGTGGGGGGTCCTACTGCGACTTTCTGAGAAAGGCCCAGGATCGTTTAAGAAGGCTTCTCAGAAGTCCCTGGGCCCTTCTGACAAGGCCTCTTCTTTCCAAGCAGCCATCGAAGCGAATTCAGCAGGTCCGTTGGATCTGGCCTTCTTCCGTCGGCTGAGTGATCTGGAGTGTTTGTTTCCTCCCGGGGCTCGGGCAGTTTGGATCAAGCTCACGGTGCGTCGTATGGCCCTTTGGCTCGGTGTATACGAATCAATACCCTTTTCCCATGTTCCCCTTCGTTCCTCTCGTGGTCCCAGGTGTGCCCGACCTTTTCCTCATACCTTTCCCTCCTCCTTCTTCCCCCCCCCTCCCTCTTTTCATTCTCCCCATCCCAATCCCCTGAGCGGGGTGGAAGAAGGGCTGGAGGATGAAGGGGGGAGCAGGGCGCAGAGACACGAGAGATTGAAGAATCATCCCTCTCACCTTCCCCCGCCTCGTCCTCCTCTTTCCCGCCCCCACCTCCCCCCCCCACACTCGTGACCCCCTCTCACCCCTCCCTCTCCCCCCTCCCGCCCCCGCCCGCCTTCCCCCGCTCTCTCCAATTTCGAGGCGTTTTTTTGTACATTCTGGCAAGCTTGCTTGCGTGGAGGGGGTGGGGTTGGCAAGGCTCGAAGGGAAACCTGACCTTCCCGCGAGCCGGGACTCGCCTGTACGCCTTTTCGGCCCAGCGTTGCTTGAAACGTCGGCGGAGGGGGCCAACCCAACCCGAGGGCCTCAATTTTCCCTCCATTTCAAGTGGGGGGGTGTCGGGGAACATGGAGGAACACACAGTTGGAAGCCGCAGCCCCCCCAACCCGAAATTCGAGCCTTCGGGTTGGGTTGGATTGTGGTCTGGCAGGTGGTCAGGATGCCACGCAAGTGAATTCGCTTAAGCCTAACTGAAAACAACCCCTCCCCCTCCCTCCTCTCCCCCCCCCTCACCTTCCCCCTCTCCCTCCCGGCCCCCACCTCTCGCGACCCCCGCGAGGCGGAGGGGCCCGCCCCCTCCGGCGGCCCCGCGGGGGGCGCCGCTGGCCCGGCCCATGGCCGGCTTCACGCTCTTCGCGAAACCGCGGGGCCCGCAGGTCTCTATCCCGAAGGCCTTTGCGGGGCACGCGTCCTCTTCCTCGGGGGGCGGCAGAGAGGGGGGTGATGACTGGAGGTAGATGTCATGGAGGGGGGTTATGATGCCTCCCCAGATTGCAGGGCGCCTCTTCTTCTTTCATCACGTCCCTGAGTCCCCCCCCTGGGCCGCGCACGTGCCGCCAGCCATGATTTGCGCCCCCTCCTCTTGGCCGCCTCCCTCTTGGCCGCCCCCGATCGTCGAGCTTCTGCGTTATGGTTTTCAGTGGGCTCGTCGTCGCCCACCGTGGCCCTCTCCTCTCCGGTTCTCCTGCCGCCTCTTCTTCCTCCCGGCTATCCTATTTGTCCTCCTCGGCCACCTTCTCATCCTCCGCCTTGGCGTCTCGTTTCTTCTTCTACTCCTCCGCCTGGCCGTCCTCCTCATCCTCCTCCTCGGCCCTCCTCCTCCTCGGCTGGCCCCAGGGATATCTCCGAGCTGGGTTAGCCGAGGCTGCACGAGCCCCCGTCCACGCACGCAAGCACCGCTTGCCGCTTGCTGTATCGCACTCTTGGCACCTGGGCAGGTTGGCGAGTTCTTCCGATAAGCCTGCAGTGTGAGTCGTGTGTCAGCAGAGGTCCGCCGCCGCCGCCTCCTCCTCAATCCTCCTTCGTCACACTCATCTTTGTCCCTTGTCATTGCGCGGACGTGCGCATCTTTCCTCGGCGAGGACCATCGAGGAGCATCCGATGCTCACAAAACGCTGTTGTGCATGCTGGCGCAGCCGGGACGATTCATGTTCGACGCCGTGCCGATGCAGCCCGATCGGACGTACATTCCGATTCGATCCGAGTTCCTGTTTCTATCATGACCGATCTTGCGAGGGTCGATGACGATGACGATGGCGCGCACAGCATCCGACCAGCATCGTCATCGCCAGAGGAGCAGAGCGACGGGGGGCGGGCGGCGGTGGACGACAGGGTGCTCAGCGGTACGCCCTCCCATCTTCCTGCGGGGGCCGCGCAGGGCAAGTGGCGCGGCGAGCACGAGGTCACCGTGGTCAGCCGCGGAGCGGCGGCCGCCGCGGAGAAGGAGGAACGCCGGCCGCCGCGGGGAGGAGGGAGAGGAGAGGTGGGGAGGGGGGCGGAAGTGGAAGAGGAGGCAGAGGGAGGAAGGAAGAGGCAGGAGGGAGCGAGGGAGGGAGGGAGGGAATAGGAGGAGGAGGAGGAGGAGGAGGAGGAGGAGGAGGAGGAAGAGGAGGAGCAGGGGGGGGAGGGGAGGGAGGAGGAGCAGGGGGAGGAGGAGGAGGAGGAGGAGGAGGAGGAGGAGGAGGAGGAGGAGGAGGAGGAGGAGCAGGAGGGCGCTGAGGGTGCTGACGACATGGGACAGGTACCTGCGCCTTCTTCTCGGAGAAGCGGTCTGCCTATGCAGGCTTCTCTGGAACCTTCCAACAACACAGGGTCAACCCTCTCCTCCAAAGTCCGAGCGAACTCCAAGACGGAAGAGGGGAAACGAAGCCGTGCCATTGGGCGACGAACCGATCTTCGAGAATCGGCACGTTGGTGCCGTACTGAACCACACTAGCCGCCGAAGCACATGATTGAGACGCACCGCCTCCTGCCTCCTGCCGCCCCGCGCCTCCAGCGAGGGAGGGAGAGCGATCCGCCCAGGCCTCGACGTCACCTGCAGACGGGCCGCGGACGTCCGCAATCCTCGCCTTCAGGCGACCTGGCATGAGACCCCGACGGAGAAGCGAGCGCTGAGTCCTCAGGCCTGGCGCATCCCTCCCACGGTACACCCCGTCCAGCCCCTCGCCCGACCGAACTAATTTGAGCACCGAGGACCCGCAGACCTTGCAAAAGAAAACGTCGGGCGCTGGGGCTGCTCCTGCAACAGGGGGCGCCACCAACGCTATGACGACAGAGTGTGAGTTGACCGCCCAGGGAAGCCCTACACAATCCTGGAGATCGGGTTATTCGGCTGTGGCAGTCGCAGCAGAGGGGCCAGAGGAGGGGGCGGCCGCGAGGGGGACGGCAGGAGCGAGGGAGACACGGCGGCCTCTTGCAGGGACCACCCCAGGGACTCCCTCGAAGGGTTGAATGCTTTCCCTTGGCCGACTCGGCCAGCTCTCCCCAGGCATCCGAAGTTAGCTCGAAGCAGAGATCCGAGGTCCCAACAAACCCCCAATAGTCAACGATGCCCCCGTCAACGGACAATTGTTGGGCCCTCGCATGCCGTCTTGCCACATCGTGGGCCATGGTCTCGGCCCCCTGTACATAGGCGGCCTGCTGAGGGGGGGGACCGACCACCTTTTTCGCCCAACGGTCGGCGAGCTGATTGCCTAGGTCCTAGGCGATCAGCTGGCCGAACCTAGGCCCTAGGGTACCTAGGCAATCAGCTGGCCGACCCTGATTGCCTAGGCCCTAGGCAATAGACTGGCGTACCCTAGGCCCTAGGGTACGCCAGTCATCATGCGATGATACTTCATTTTCACCACTGACCCTTGGTGGCCGATCCTTTGCCACCAGCAGACCCAGAAGTGCGCTCTACTGTTCATGGTGTCGGGAGCCACGCATGGATTCGTTGCGCACCCGATGGGACCAGCACAGCTCGAAAACACGAAAAGCGGGTCTTCGGGGTTCTACTCCGAATATTCAGCTAAAACCTGAAACGTCTTGTCCTCGCCGCCATGCGGTGGCAGGTGAAGCACCACCTCCGCGGCCCCACCCGCCCCCTCCAAGTCCCAGAATATTTTTTTATGCCTCCAGGTGTGGAGGCGACCAATCCACTCCGCGGCCTGGGCCACTCGCAGCCATCAACAAAGAGCTCCTGCTCCTCATCCGCTCGCCAGAGCTAGGCCCCCGCGCGGGCCCATTTATCTGCTAACCGGTTGCCTTTGAGCATCCACAGGTCCTCCAAGGAAGTGGCCCGCTGCAAATCTCGATGGGCCTTCACATCCGCAACCTTAGCTGCGTCGCCAATTTTGGACCGCCACAGCTCCCACATGCGACAGTGACTGTCATCGGGACTCAGGCCGGTGGACAAGGGGGCGGAACTCGCCACGGATCCAGTGCAACCGCTGAAAACTTCACGCGGCACGCCAGTGTCTCCGTCACGCGGGGGTTCGCTAAACCTAGCCAGCACATGAAACGCGCAGCCCTCCCCGCCCCGCGCCCGCCGACCAGGGCCCCGCCCCCGAGGAACCACCCCGCGCATACAGGCAACGAAATTGCTTCCATTGTACTCTTGGACCGCCGACCAGCCTGCTCTCCGACAAGCTCCAAACTTGGTGCGAGCCGCTGAGCCATCCGCGAAGACGCCCTTCCCCCCCAGCGCCAGCCTGGCACGGCCCCGACACAGCGATCTTTCGGGCTTCCCAAAGCAGCGCTCGGAGGAAGGGAACAAGCACCTGGACAAAAAGTTCCGCCCCCCCCCCCAAAAAAAAAAAAAAAAAAAAAGACCGGCTACCCTCCGGGCGGCGCGACGAAGGCTAGGGGGGGTCGGCCCTGCGAAGCTCAAATGAACAGGGACAGCCAAACCCACGGTGAAACAGCGTGCCCCTGCAGCCACGCAGAAGACACTCATCAGTCACCGATGGTTTACACCTAGCGAGCCTCGCCTAAGGCCAGCGGGCTCCCGCAACCAAACTGCGAACGAGATTCCGATCATGCCGAGAAAGGCTTCTGGCAGCCTTGCCATGGTGAATTATATGTAGAGGTCTCCAGTGAAGCTCTGGCACCCTGACCCCGCGCCCCCTCGTCGCCTGGCTGTCGGGGGCGACCGAGGCCACGCGCCGAGCAACCTCGACCGCGCGCCCAGGAGAGAAACACTTCACATCCCCCCCCCCCCTCAGGCCCGAGCAGCATGGCGGCAGGGGCCATGCCCCCTTCGAGGCGAGCGAGGGCACGGAGGAGGGCCTGGGCAGGATTGCTACGCTTGCCCCATAGAGCCTTCTGCCCGAGCACCGCGCGCCCCCCCTCCAGCACCGCCTCGGGCACCCCTGGAGACGCCAGGGAACTCTCCAAGCGGGCTGCCCATGCCTCGACTACTTGTCCCATGTGGATCATGAGTGGGCCCCATTCAGAACCCGCGGCGCACGGTCTTAATTTTGAGTCCAACACTGGCCCCCGCTCAGACTTCAGGGCCGCAACCCTCGGGGCTCTGAGTTGTCCATCAGCAAACCTGTCGCCGCCCAGCCCCTAGCGGCGGCGGCCGTTGGCGAGCGCCGCAGGACCTTCTCAACCATGGCACCCGCAGCCCTCAGGGTGCGAACCCGCTCCGCAGACTTCTGAGTTTTTCACGGGGCGCTTATTTTGCCCCACAGCGCTGCGCAGCTCCCCTGGCGAGCCATCACCTCCCATGCAGCGGGGGCCCCTGGCGCGCTCGAGCTCGCCTTCCCAGGGCGAGGTGAGGATGCCGGCGAGCTCGGCGTCACCGGTGAGCCGCCCAGTCTTGTCCCAGTTGAGTTGCAATATGCGCTCCGTGAGGCCGCCGACCAGAAGCCGAAGAGCTGTTGGGAGTTGCTCTCGGGCCAGTCGCGCTGTGCCAAGTGCTTGTGGCATCTGATCGTCGACGAGCGACTGCGCTCGCACGGGGGAGTACCGTCGCTTTTGCCCCATCAGCAAAGTGCGAATCATCAACTTAGCCAAGCCGAGAGCACAGCTGCAGCTTGCTGCAATAGTGCCATTTGAATGAACCACCACCGAGAGCGCGCCGTGCACTGCGCTCGTCGACCGAGCCTGCGGGCGCAGCAGAGCGCCCGCAACAACGCCAAAGGGAACTTGGGCGCCGTCGCCTCGCGAAGGAGGATGTCGTGAGACACGCGCTCGTAGTGCATGCTGAGGTCGATCGCTGCCGCGCCAGAGGCCGCGCCGCCCACCTGCGCGCAGCGCGCAGCCAGCAGGTTGTGAACATGTCCTGCTCGGTCGCATGTCTTGCCGAGACCTCCCCCCGAAAAAGTCGCCTTCAGGCTGTCTCTCCCGCCGCGCCGCCAGCGGCTGCCCGAGTCGGTCCCGCAGCCGTAGCCAGAAGCATGTGAGAACGATCGGCCGCGCTCCTCCCCCTGGCGGGTGCCTGGCCCGAGGAAGAGGCGGTCGTCGATCGGGTCCCACTCCCAGACCCGCGGCGCGTCTAATAACCTCGACTGGTAGCTGATCGGCAGCCGCCGCAGCTGCCTGGGATGCATCATATCCCTGCCAAGGCCCGCCCTGTCGCTGCAGGCGTCTACGACCTTCCTCATGTCCTGGAGCGTGAGCTTTGGCAACGCAGAAGCATCACATTCCTCTCCTCGCCAAGTGCGTGGGCGCGCCTCATCTCGACGAAGCTCATACCGCCGCAGCGGGCCCCACTGTTGCACCAGCTTCTCCATGCTAGTATCTCCGCCCGGCGGCGCGCGGCGCCCCTGCGCCTCGTCCAGCACCTCGAAGACAGACGGCTGGACTTGATTGCCAGCTCGAATGAAGCCGAAGGCCGCGCTGCCGCCCTTCTCCTGGGCAGCCGCACATGCCCTCGCCTTCCGCTCGCTCTGGTTGGCCAGCGGGCCCTGCTGGCGCAGCTGCACCAGGTGCTCGTCAATCGCCATCAGCATGTGCCCAGCCGCAGACGCGCTGCCAGACCGCAGCACGGCGACCACCTTACCGATGGTCATCTCAGCCAGAACTCCAGACGACGGCCGCCAGCTGCCCTCCATCACGAAGCCCCCGATGACCTTCAGCTGTCGTTGCAAGCAGGAGAACCTTGACCAACCGCGCTCCTGTATGTAGGCCTTCTGCTGGGCTGCTCGCCTCGCTGCCGCTGCGAGGGGTGCCATGCGCCTGAACTCCAGCGACGACCTGGCCTTGGACTGTCGACCCCACTCCTGCGCCAAGAGGGCCCGCATCAGCTTGAGGCCTGCAGCGCGACCACGCCGCCTCTCGTAGACGCCATGCAGCTGACAGAGATAGCCCTCCACGCGCAAGAACCAGCGTTCAACCGCCTGCTGCATGTCCCGCGGCTCCGTGCCTAGCGCCCAGTGCCGCTCGTCTTCGCCAACCTCGCGCGGCGCGGGTCGCGCCTGCGGTGGGGGTTGAAGAGGGGGCCCTTCTGGGCCATCTTCC